TATGTTTTGTTCCATTTTCAATTAAATTTTTTGGAATAATAATAATTTAAATAATTAAATAAAGATATTTTATATTTTATTTTATATTTTTATATTTTAAAATATTATCTTTTGAATAATTTTTTAGAATTTTTATTTTAGATTTGATATAAATTTTAAATTTGATTCAAATATATTCTTCTGCTCATTTTTTTTCGTTAAAAGGAATAGAACATTTTTAAATCTTGTGACCTCATGAAAATTGTTCGGTATTATTATAATACTTTAAAAAATTAATTTTTTAATATTATTTTTGGTGCAAAAAATCAAATAAAAATCGGAAAAAATATATTAATAAATATACTTGCTTAATGATTCTAGATAAAATATTTAAAATGGCCAGATCTTAACATTAAGTTAACATGCAATCTAATATTTTGAGCAGAAGATATACATATATATATATATATTTCCAATTCTGGTTGATTAGAATAAATATATTTTCCGAGATTTCAAAAAAATTTTTTTAGCAGATTTGTATATATATATATATGTATATCTGCAGTACGTATTAAATATATTACATATAAGTACAAATTTTCATAGAAAAATGTGCATTTCTAGACAAGTTTTGGTTTAATCGAAAATAATTTCAGTCCAGTTTTCACTTAAAAAACGTTTATCCGTTGTGATACTGTTTTTGGCTGTTCTTTTGTTGCAAAATCAATTTCCATTCAGTGTAGCCTTTGCAGCATGGTCCTTTAGAGAATTCAGCATGACAATTTAAAGAAAACTTTTATGGAATGATCGAACGATAGACGAAGATTTCCAAATTTATAAAAGGAATTGCTTTTTTTATGGCAAAAAATGATGAATTCCAATAGATTTGGTTCAAATATGCTCTTCTGCTCATTTTTTTTCGTTAATCTTACAACGAGCCATATCAATTATGGGTTACCGTAGCTGGCTCTTAAATTAAAAATATTTGAAAAACGAGGGGCAAAGTTAGATGGCATTTGGGAATTGCTGATTGGTATGAGAGGCAATTACTGGATTATTATATAGATTGTTGCAAAAATGAAGAAATTACAGTAGAGGCGCAAAGGTAGCAATCTTGTTGGCTTAAAGTGGTATTTTTCAAAATGTTATTGAGAATATTAAAAGATTGAGTAATTTAAATGAAAAAAGAGTTACAGTACTAATAATTTTACTGTGGATGTTATCGTGATGGATGCTATTAGAGGAAGATTGAAGGATGGATGAGGCTGATGGCTAGCCATTCGCACAGAACGTATCCCAGTGCTGCTATTTCAGCAATATCCGATCAATATTGTCCTTCTCAGCAACTAACATGCTCGCACTTTATGGATTGTCTCGTTTTTTAGCTATACTGTAATGGGTGGAACTCAAATAGCGAAATTAGCGATACAACAATCCCCTTATTTGAGTCCATTCAGCTATGTATGTACACCTTCAAACTAGTCTAGAATAATTGTACGATTCGCTTCTCACATTTCATGTTCATCATTCGATGAACATTCGTTGAACAGGTGACGCAAACCGTTCTTCCACTGTTCATTTACATTTTTTATGTTCTTTTAATTAAATCTATTTTGCGCCCAAAATTTCGATTAATTTGTCCATAAAACCATTGTTGGACTTGCTATTAGCTCGATTCTCTCCAATTTTCTCTTATTCTAAAGCAATAAGGCAGAATCGACGTACGCTTGCCCGCCTGCCTGCCAGCTTGCATACCCAATGTTATGTCTGATGAATTCCCTTGTGAACTTAGCTTATATGCTTAACCATTAAAATTTTTTTTCTTTTCAAACCAATCCTATTATAATAATTATTACTGGTTTTCCAGTTATTCAACGAAAAGATTATTCGATTTTTTAATTATTTAAATAATATATTTGCATTTTTGGTGATAAATTTTTGTAAAAAAACTTCCAATATCACTTTGAAATTCTTTCATATTTTTGATTATAATTATAATTAAATTATAATAATTATAATTAAAATTATAATTTTTTATAACATTGGAATTCTTCTTCCTTATTTCGTTTCCAAAAAGTAAAAAATAAATTTATAAATTTTGTTATAAGAGACAGGAATAGGGACATGTCACCTGGTTGGCCGTTGCATAAATTGTTGTTCATCGGAGTTCATAGACCTATCATTAAAAAGTCCGGATGACGCAAGCGACCCTTCTCCGCTTCTTTCTTCAGGTGAAAATTTCCTTTGTTAAATTTTCAAGTGGAGAGAACCTAATTCACGAGATAGGTTGGGGAAAATGGTGCAGTGGAAAGGATTGATTCTTTTCTGGTCAAGTTAAACTAGTTGTAATGGGAAAAGATTTCGTATTAATTTTCGAAATTTTGTAATCTTCAACCGATCAATTCATAATTGTTGCCATTTTTTTAACGACTAAATGAAATGGAAGTTGACTATCTCTCCAGCTGCACTAAACAGAGACCAAAAAAATGCAAATGAGCAATTATTTATTGCATTTGTTCATTATTTATAAATTCAACTTATATTTATGGAACGGTGATATGGCCATATGGAATGTTATTTGGCTATTTAAATTGAAGTCAGTAGCGTTAGCAGGTCGCACAATTCGAGAAAAGGAAGCATTTTCCAAAGTGTCACTTGTCTTCTCTTCCAAGATAGCATTAGAAATTATACATGATAACTCAATTATTATTTAAATTATGGTGTAACTAGTGAAGCAAAATCATTATGATTGCTCTATTAAATAATCTGTTATAAGCCTTTGAATATATATTATTTGAAGGTGTAAGATGGATTTTATTCGGCATAACACCAAATCTGCTTCTAGCTTTCAAACTATCGATCATAGATGAATTGTGCTCGGCTTACGCGACATGATTGATGCTGACCACAGCTGATAAATAAGGTTTTAGCAATCGTATTGAAATATATCCTAAATCTATACTAAAATTTCTCGAATTGGCTCTTTCGTTCGAGATCTGATTGAGCTTTCGGTTTTTTTTGGACGACTCTTTCAAATCCTGGTTAATGATTAATGATTGAAGGCGAATCGATATTTATCATTAATCGAATAGATCACCACTGATTGCCCCACATCAAACATTATTGAGTTTTTTAGCACCAAATTTTTCGAATATATTTATTTTGCTTTGACTGATTTGTTCATATCTCCATTTATTAAACTCGGCTCAGTCTTTCAATAGCTCTAATTTCTGGTTTAATTGCACTCATTGGCTATTAAAGGTTAGAAAATTAGGGAGAGCATTGCAACTAAATCGCCAACACCTCGAATCTCTGCTACAAAAAATCAGAAGAAATGTAATTCTTCCCATTAGTTAATGGTTAAAGTCTTTTTTTATGAATATTGCAACCGGATGTAAAAACAACGATTTTGTCAAATGATTAGCCAAAAATTCATACGGAAGTAATAATGGATTCGAACAAAACATGCATGACTGCTTTTGTTCCTTGAATGAGCCGCGCATGTTTGATCAATTTCTGCCCATCCATTTATGCAAACACGGTACTTATTGCAAACAGAAATTTCATATTTCATATTTTTACATCTCTACAATTTCAAGACTCGAATTAATTTTTTCTTTATGAATGAACTTTCAAGGTTTAAATTTATTTTATTCAGAAATTAAAGAAAAAAAAAGATTTTATAAATTATCGAATTATCTTAGTAGCCATTAAAAAGTGTTGTTATATATAGTGTTGCTTTGAAATAAAGTACCATGAGTTCAATTTCTCCTTCATGGCGATTAAAATAGTAACCTATACTTCTTATTTCCCAAATGACTCTGTTGAAAGTATCTAATTCAAGTATTCAATAGAGCATTTAATAAAAACAGATGATGGATGGAAATAATAAGAAAACCACTCTCAGTTCGGATTTAATTCCGATATTCCCGAACTGAAGACTTTTAGCATTAGCTGTGATTTCTAGTTATTCTTAATAGATTAAATCTAAGGATTAATGATTTGCTGAAATTTTTTTTTTAAAGCTTATTGTTCCCAACGTTGAGTATTGCACAGCCAACAACAATTTATTGCTACTGTGAAGAAAATAATTGCACTATTGTTTTTTTTATTGTCACCATAATATCGAAAAGAAGATAAATTTTAACCGGTCGGGAAGAAATTAAGTGATTTTGCGGATTTTTGGTTCTAAAAAACTTGTATTTTTGCTAATTGAGAGTCCTTAAGGAACCAAACATTCATTGCATTTAGCTCATTATAATCCAACAGGCCAATAGATTTGATTTTTCAATGATTTATGGTTGTTGCCAATTCTAACGATTACTCAGCCTGTCCGTCTAATGATCTTTTTTTTTAACTGTGAATTCAACCGTCTATTGCAACATTAATAGTTCATTCTACATGAATGTCGATGCAGCGCTCTTAAAACGGTTGGGAAAGTGGCTGATTTTGCTTCAACAGTGACTAACAGAAATTCCTGGAAAATTCGAATATTATGGTGCAAAGAAGTACTGGAAAAATTGGGTTTCACTGCATTCGTTGTCATTTCAACAAACTGTTGTTTAAATATTAAATATTAGAAAAATGATTTTTGTTATTTCTTGCATTTTTTCTAAACTCCTATTTTTTTAAAATAAAAAGCACTTCCATCCTGTCAATCTAACTTTTCCTTTGTCCCTAATTTCGAGTTTTTACTCGATAGAATAATTCCCGCAACTGCATCCTCTATAACTGTATAAAGAGGAATTCTGCTTAATGGTTAGATGCTATTGATAATATTCATAGATCGGTGTACAGTTATGATAGCGCAGGTCATATTGCACGATTCTGAGATGATTCATGGATTTGTGGTACTAAAAAAATTCTTGAATATGCAAGACAAGAAAAAACGATTCGCCTATGCGAAAATGCTTCATAGAGTTATTTTTCGTTAATGAGCTGATTCGTTTGATAGGTAATGGTTAGTGGATTATTGGGAATAAAGAACTTGCGGTTATTGGTGTTATTAGTTATGGTGGTTAATGGTGATGAGTGGTGGTGGTGAAGGCGCTGTTGATGATGATGCTTGGTTGTTGGTTCTACGTTGGCCGTTGACATCGTCATCATTGCGCTTCTCTCGGTTCATTCGTTCTTCTCACTTTTACATACAAAAATTATTTGATGCGAAAGATTTTACGAAAGATCACTCTGCTGTTCTATTGCTGCGTTGCGTTCCTTTTTTTCGGGCGAAATTTATGTTAAGTGAGCGTAATGTTTTACTTTTTGAATTTTGTGGAACTTTACTGAAATGGCTCACTCGCTTAAGTAATTTTCCCCGAACTGCTAGCGTGCAATTCGTTTGTGCGGATTTATTTACTTTCTAATTGATTTGCCGGAGGAATTCTTGCAAATAGGGCAGTTTACTGATAGCGAATTCGCCCGAGGCAGTTCGACACATTGTCTCCTGTTTGGCTCACTTCAGTCAGTAAAATGCATGCAGGCAGTAACATCACTAATACAATGCATGCACAAATGCATGCATCTTCATTTGCCAAATGTCACTGAACATAAATATGTGCATTTTTTCTTGCTTATGTTTATTCAGTTTTTTCCCGAAATTTCATCTCCACTTTCACATTATTGGTTCATATTGATTTTCGGATATTTTTTCGAATGTTTTTTTTCTGCAATTTAATGCGGTTTTAATTTAATTCAACTATTTTACGTACTGGGGAGGCAGAATAATCGAATATCACGTGGTGCACCACGCCACTTGGAAAAGCTAACCCACGTCGAAACGCAGTGACCAAGCCACGTGTATTTTTACCCTCCGAACGGCTTTGTGCCGAAACGGTTCCACTGTGGCGAGTGAAATCAGTTAAGTATAATGGGTTTGTATTTTATGAGTAGTCGATTTTTTGCTACCTTCTTTTTTTTTTCATTGCGGAATTATCTCAATAGAAAGACTAATTTGATGGAACCAGGAAAGTGCTGTGAAATTCCGCACCTTCCGCAGTTCCTAGGCGATAGAGGCATATACCTAAGCATACCATGCAAAAATCTTGCTTAGGCTGCACAAGAAGGCGTATTACAGCTTAAGCTCTGGAGAAGGAGCTTTAGGGTAAGTTCTGCCGAACTCGATTATTCGAGTGGCAATTTTTTTTGCTAAATATTCTCTCTCGACTTGCGCTACGAGGCAAAATACACGCAGAATTATGGTCAGTTCGATGTTTCAGACAATGATGTACGATGAGAACAGTAATACATCATCGATAACATCGTCATCATCGATGTTAACAACGCCAACGGCGGCAGCGACAACAACGACAAATGGTCTCATGTCACAGTTATTGAATGTAAAAGATTCAAGATGGTTGCAACTTGAAGTTTGTCGCGAATTCCAACGAGGGCAGTGTTCACGAACCGATTTAGAATGCAAATTTGCGCATCCGCCACCACATGTCGATGTTCAAAATGGTCGTGTAACTGCATGCTACGATTCTATCAAGGTTTGCTGTTTGCTTACAGATTTTATCATCATTTAACAGAGTTCTTTTATTACCGTTAGATCGCCAAATCGTCTGCGTAGTTGTGTTGCTATTGACCCAGACCATCGTGATAAAAGGCAAGGGGTCCTGTCCCCCTCGCTGCGCACAAACCTGGACTCATCATTAAAGAATGCGCGTGGTGCTCACAACCCGCACAGATATACTTCTATCACTAAGTGACTCATCGGCAAAAATTTCTAAGCGAAGTAGGAGCCAGGAGAACGAGAAATAGCGAAGTCTGTTCATTCACTTTTCATTTATTATTTTAGTGCTTTATTATTGTTATTCACTTTTTATTTTTTATCATATTATTTTTTATTATTTTATTATTTATTTATTCTATGGCTAAATGGCAATAAAATCTTAAAAATTGGTGGACAAAAATATTTGTGACACAATGCAAGCTAGCAGATCATTCTTATAAAAAGGCCATAAGCTTGGGCATAAATTCAATAAATTTTTAGTTCATTTCAAAGACTATTGATGTGGAAAAAATTTTGGGAAATTGATCTGTGCTTTTCGTTGGGTTTGTTTTCGATTGGTGTAGCGAGTTCTCGCTCAACCCAAATTACCCTTAAATGATGCTCGTTTCTCAATGTAAGGTGAAGAAGTTTATTTAGGATCAATTTTTCGGGAAATAACTCATTTCCATTTGTTCTCTTTTAAAGGGTAAAAGCTAAGTGGTTTTTTTCTGAAAAGCAGGTTTACAATTTTCCAAGTTCCTTGTCTTCCGGGAAGGAGCATGGCGCACCTCATTTGAATGATGGGCAATTTCTCCAAGAATCATTATCGAACTTTCCCAATTCCTACTGGAATTTAATCGATATTAGTGGATTTTTTCGTTGGTTAAACGAAAGGTAATTTTCGTTTTTTTAAAGATTTATTGCAGCTATTATTTATTTATTGGTAATTCAAATGTTTCTGCGATACTTGAGTATCAATTATTTCTGCATCTAATATTCAGGAAATAAAATTTTTTTTATACTTCAGTTGCGAAGGATGTGAGGGAGTCGGATAATTGTTCGGGTTAAGGAAAAGCAAGTGGCTTTGCTTTCTGGATGAGAACGAGAAGATCATTTTCGTTTAATAGTGAGAAAAGCAAATCTGCGCATTTATTGGGCATCATTTATGAGCGAGCGGTGTATCATTTCGAACATTTCAGCCCTTCTTCGCGTTAGATAAATATTTAGCGCATTGCTGTGGGCTTAACAATAGGATAGGAGTAAAATGTCCTTAAAGTAGTAGTGATGAGCGCAGCTTCCCAGTTGGCCTTCTGGCGGAGGCTTCTTATTCTTTTAAAAGCAATGGAAAAAGCTTAACCAGTGCTGATTTATGTCCAAAATCTTTGGAAAATATTTTTCTTATTGATTTATTGCAATCGTCGATCGATAAAATTCAGCGAAGTCTAAATGAAATTTATGATTTTTTAGCGACAAAAACTTATCACACTAAAAGTTGATCAGTGATCACTGATATTCACATTTTCGAATTTGCTGAATTCTCCAATGATTTTTTAAAATTGTGCTTTTTTTCTGTTTTTTGGGTTTTCCATTCTCATAGGAAAGGCTTTTCACCCGATTAGAAAATTGCAATTTGCAGTTTATTTAAAGTAGCCGTAACTTTTCGATCGGAGTGAAAATAAAAAGCTTTAAATTTCCTTTCGTACTGTTTTTTGCCATCTTGCAGCAGCACGCATTATTGCTGCTTATTTGACTGCCGACTTCTAGAGAAAGTCTTTGTCAGTCAGTCATTTAAGGACATAATCGAGCACGTGGTGCCTGAATCTGGTTGTTCCAGATTGCGAGACTGACGGTTAACTGACGGTTACCGGCGGTTTTAGCAAAATGAAATGGAAATAATTGTTGATAAGAAAAAATGTTTGCTTGGAAATTTCGATCACTATTGTAGAAGAAGATTCAATGTATTAATCGAGTTAATTTGAAGAATTTCAGGGTAGATGTACGCGGGAAAATCCGAAATGCAAATATCTGCATCCGCCGCAACATTTAAAGGATCAGTTATTAATAAACGGTCGAAATAACTTAGCTTTAAAGAATCTGATATGCACTCAGTTGAATCAAACTGCTGCAACACCAGCCATATCGACGATAAATCCTCTAGCACAACTGGTTGTAAGTGGTCAGGCAAGTCCAGCCGCGCTCAACGATCCTTTACTAATTGTGCAACAACAACAGCAACAGGCTGCTGCTGCTGCTCAAGCCGCTACTCTTGTGCCAGCAACTGCTCTTCCTTATCAATATTATCAGGGTATTACAACTATGTATCCGGCAGTCGTGCCTGTGGCTAGTTCCGATGCTTATCAAGCGGTGAGTTTATTCTTTCCGAATATTTTCGTATATTCCTGCACTTTTCCTTTTTCTCTCGTTTAAGGTATGTATTTTTTAAAATATTACAAAGTATAAAAATAAGGATTTTGGCGCGTTCTTATAGTTTCCCTTATCCTCATCCATCCATCACCAATTCAAATCCGCTAAATTCATTATTGTTGGACATAATAAAAAAATATTTAATTGTTATCTTCATCGATGCTAAATTATAATCGTATGCATAAAAAAACTTCACAACAATTAGATTTTAAGCATCGATAGCCATAAATTTTTTTCTTCAAGGACGTTTTGGTCGAAAAATTAATTTTTTTTTTCGCTCTGAGAATTTACTATAATCCTTTACCGCAATAAGAAAAGATAATAGAAATCTGTCTAAATATCTGTCGAAATAATGGATTTAGAAAATTAAATTTTGATGTAAAAACTTATTGCAATATTTTCATATTTTTCGAGAGCAAATAAAAACTAAACGAACGATTAAAAAAATATATAAAGGATTTACTTGTAGGTAAAATTTAGAGATTCAAATATTGGATAGAAGGGTGAGAAAAAAAGTTAAGGAACCCAGGAAATTGGGTGACTGATAACAAAAATTATTAAATTTCGATAATAATTTTGCATCGGTAAAGGTAAAATAGCAGTTTTAAGTTTTTTCTTAAACTTTAAATTTAGGATTTGAGTTTTTAGTTTTCTCTTTTTTACGGAAGTGATAAAAATTGAAGGAAAGAAAAAAGCTGGAAGTTTTCGTAGGAATTGGTAGGGCATAGTTACGGATAGAAAAGGAATGTCATTTTCTTGCCGTTGCTTTCGTGTATCGCCGCGGCTCCAGCGAGATTGGCTTTTTTCTACAAATTTTTTGTGTACTTTTAATATTTTTCTGTCGCTTGTACGGCTCACCTTCCTATTTGCTCGATAATTGCGTTTTTGTTTTCTCTTATAGCAATTTTTACAGTTTTTTTTCCGTAGAAAATTTCTATACTTTTTTGATTCCCAAAAAAATTGGTCAAATGGCTTAATAAGTTACGCACAAGCAAGCAAGTTGCATGATAATTTATGCGGTATTACTGCTTTTTTGATATAAGATTTCGGACTTGTGCGCTACTGATAAGCTATCTTATCAATTTGATCACGAGGAGAAGAATGTATAGCCCTTATGCTTAATTTTTACTTCATAATAGTTATGCAAAAAATTTATGCCACTACTGGAGTATACAGACGATTTTTACGTGAAAAGAACGGATCAAGTGTGAAACGTTGAATTAATGAAAAGTTTGGGGTTGATTTTATATATTTCATGTATTTAACGGAACTAAATTAATATTTGGGAAAGACTTATAATTCACTTATGAATTTGTGGTATAAAAGAACGATAAAGTTCGTTTAGTTCGACAGATTTTATTTAAAACATAGTTTGTCATACTAATTTGACAGATCTTATATTAGGCATTTAAAACATTGAGTACCGCAATATGATAAACTAAACCAAACTAAACCTTAAACGAGGGTAATATAAATGTTTGAAATTTAAGATTAATAATTCGATGTTTTTTGACAAAGCCCAACAAAAATTTTTATGAAAATAAATAGAAAATGTAAAAAAAAGCCCAACATGCACGTATAATTTTGTAACATATTGTGTGGTGGCTTGTTTTGAAGTGTGTTGCATGGCTTGTTGGCTGACGACGCGTTTTCCTTCAGCAAGTTCAAGCCCAATTGGTGGCACTTCAAACTCTTGCGGCTATGCAACCTACTGTGTCGCTTGCACCGTCACCTGCTGCTGTTGCCGCTGCTGCTGCGGCTTTATCCGCATCAACAGCATTACCGAACAATCGTAAACGGGCATTGGATGATGAACAGATTGGTGCCACATCGTCCCAGTATCTCGACCAGAATTCCTTACTGCTAGCTGCTGCTGCTGCCGCGGTACAATTTTTGTTTTCATTTACTATCCCTTTAGATCTGTCGGTTCCACCACCATTACTACTACTACTATTATTATTACTACTATTATTATTACTACGGCAACTACCACAGCTACCACTACTACTATTACTCACCACTGTAAACATATTCTCATATCATGTTTATCAGTTTATCTTTTTTCAACTTATTCTCACACATAAATGTTGTTTGGTCGCATGGTACCATAAACGAAATTTTAATTATTTTTAAATAAAATAAAATTTTAATTTAGGCGGGTGCTACTGTACCATGCAAACGATTAGCAGCTGAAAAAGGTGGTGTGCCAGTCTATGCGAATGGTGCGGCAACCCCTCATATGGCACAAGTACCGCAACCAACTTTTAATCCGTACCTTATTCCGGGGATCCACGGCTACATGCCTACTGTATCATGTAAGTCGCGCATGCTGCTCGCTTCTTCGCTAATTCCGCTTATTTTCAGTTAGTGGTCAAATTCCACCTCGTTTCTAACCATTGGTTCTTCTTGGATCCACCAAATTCTCTTGACGATGCATTCTGTGATCGTACACGGTGATGTTCCTATATATAGTATTAGCAAATGTAGAAGGGCGGTCGGCGGCAATTGTTTTCTTTTTTTTATAAATTTATCCATACATCCATCCATCTATTTATCAACGTCTTCCTGCACCACTTCAAATGCTTCTTTGCTTTAAGCCTTTGCGCTTAACAAATTCAAGTAATAGAAGTCCTTTTATCTTAACACTTTTTTTGTAACTAACTATTTGGTTTTTTTCTTCGCTCCATTGCTTTTTTTTTCGAAATAAAACGCACCTCCAAATATCCTTTGATTTTCACTGCTTTTTTTTTAAATGCACCCTTTTCCAAAAAGAATTTTGAAACCATTTAAATCCCCAATTTTGGAATTTTAGTTTAGAATGGCTGTAGTCGGATTAATTAATTATCTCGTTTTTTTACAAGCCATAAACATTTGTCCTCTGCTCGCGGCGTGCCGTTTGCGCATTTTTTTCTTTCAACTGTTTTTATTTTTTTCTTGAATATAAGAAATAAAACTTTTTTCTATTTCTGGGTAACTATTTGAACTGAATTGGAAATTAGTATATAAGATAACGAAGAAAAGGAATCTTGAGTGAAGATGAAGTGGAGAGGAGAGGGTTCGAACCCGCCTAGATTATTCTCCTAGAAACAACGTAAGTTCATTCTCTTTTCCGCCAAAAGCTCGCATTTGTATACAAAAAAAAATTTTTTATTTTTTTATTGTTTTCGTTATTAATATAAATATGTTTATAAGCGAAAAAAGGAAATCTTCCGAAGTTGTTGCTGTTGAGACACAATAAATAAAGCGTAAAAATTAGACCAATTCTTTTTGAATAAAGTCATAGTTATTGTTGGTCCCACTGAAGTAAACCTGTCATTAAAAACGATATCTGAGCGACAGTTCACTTGTGTCACTATTTATATAAAACAGTAAAAACCACACGGATAAAACGCTTACCTTGGTTAATTTATCTCATAGTCACATAACGATTCTCTGATACGAATCTCATTTTTCCCAGTCTGAAAAAAAATACGAAGCAGTGGACTATTCTTGTATAGTTAGATACACATATATGTACACATATAATCCTCCATAAATTTAAAGAAAAACTTGAAATCTTGCTTGCGTTGCAAACGAATGTTTGGTAAGCACGAGGGAAAAAAGGCTAGGATGCTCCCTCAGCAGAGATTTTTGCTCGCAAAAATTTTATGATTTGAGAAATCAGTCGAAAAAGCTTAACTTAACTTAGCTTTAAGAAATATGTTTTTTAAAAGTAATCGGGTAAATTGAAAGTTTTGTTGGTTTTAGAAAAAATTGGTTATATCAAATTTGCAATTTCAATTAGTTAGTTCGTTCAGTATTAATTCGTTAACGCATCGGTATTCTAATTGGTTTTGGCAGCAAATTTTGGTTTAGATTTTGCACCAGTTGTTTTTCTTAATTCTTGTTTTCTGCCCTAATTTTATACAGAACTGCGTCGTTGCAAACTGAATTAACGAATTGCCCAACATTGACCTTTGAGCCTCGAAATCAATCATCCATCTTAATATTAATTAATATTAATATTAATTAATAATAATATTAATTAAAATATTTTTTATCAACTAGGATGTAAAAGCATGTCGTTTTTATCGCAGATAATTGCATAGATGTCGCACCATATCTCCGCCGTTTCACTGAAAAATTTGGAATTTGAGGATATCTATCTGATTATCACCAAAAGTTGTAAATATTCAAAAAAATAAAAAACAACTACGATTTAACCTATTATTGCGAAAGAAATTGTAAGAGAACGCTTAAAATTGACTAATCAACGAGACGCGAACTGAAAGACATCCAACGAATAAATTCTCGATCGGTGCTACCACTATCTTATAATTAAAAACAATACATCATTTAATTCCTTTGTGGGCTTTTTTGCGAAATAAGCCTAGCAGTCAAGATGGGCAAAAAAAGGTTGTATTAAGTTCCATTTTCCTTACTAGAGAAAAAATATTTTCGGGTACAAAAGGATAACAATAAGTAACAAATTTTTTTCGCATTACAAATTTTTATCATATTAGAAAACTATGATTTGGTAGAAATTTTTGGTACTACTTTTTCATAAATCGAGCTTTATTGGAGGAAGTCCATATTTTCTTGAATATTCGGAGAAAATAACTGCCTTATAATCCAGTGTTAGCAGTCTTGGATATGGTGTGGTGAAGGTTGACTTCTATGGCCTCAGAAAATTTTCATTTGCTGCCATAACGCTTATTCTTAATATATTAACATTTGATAAGAATACGATTTCTTTTCGTGATTATAAATTATACATTTCTTTATAATTCAATATTACATGAAAGGAACAAAAGGCAACCGGCGGATTTCATTAAAATCATGGAGATTGAATGATTGGCGACGAATATTTGATTAGAAATGAATTAATTTATGATTATAATTTATAATTAATAATACAAAGATTGGAAATCGAGGAACCAGATTTCTGTCTTTTTCATTTAATGTAGTTCTGAGTACTGATATGGCAATTAACATTGAAAATAAGTGCTCATTTATGAAATTCATTTCTAAACGAGGTGAAGGAGAAGGATTCGTCATCCACCTTTCTATTATAAACTATTGCCACAATCCACAATTTACTACGCAGTTCGCTCGAAATGAAATGCGTCTTTGCAGATAGCACGAATGAATGTATCGCCTTTAACAATCTGCAAATTTACTAGTTAAAAGTTAATTACTAGTGAATTTTGCGGAATGTTCGAGGTTAATTCCCAACGCAGCGAAGGTCCCAGGTATTTTTATCAATAAAGTAATCATCTTTATCATTTAACAGATACTTCGAGAGAATTTTAATTCATTCTCGCCTTATTATCTTTTTAAAACCTTTTTTTTCTTTATCTCAAAAATATCTAATCAAATGTTAAGAAAAATGCATTAAAATGTTTAAAAATCATTTTTTATGAAAACAATTGACCGAAAATTTCGCTAAATAATTTAATTATTCATTTAAATTCTTTATTAAAAAAAAAATTAAAAAAATGATTGGAATATAAGATGCAAAAGATGGTGTGTTGGTAGGTGTGTTTCACTGGGCTATCAGTTGGCGTATGAGCCGAAATTCGACATTTCGCCGGCGAGTTAGTGGCGAGATAAATGGAATAAAGGGATGCGATCGAAATAATGTGGAAGTGGTAGCTTTTCTTTTTCGTAAAAATGAAAGTTCTGTGAAGCAAAATAAATATTGGAAGGGGACCCTATTAAATTGGTTCATCAGTTACAACATCATTTCTTCCCCTGATGGCGAAATAGGCCAGTGGTCGAAATCTTCGAATATCGAGTGTTCTGATTCGGCCTTGCTTCTAATGGGTCTTTCATTGCGTGGTACTCACCTTTAATTCTATCTTTGAGTAACTATAGCAAAGTTATTGTGCGTGCTCAAACACATAAACTTCATTGCTTATACTGCATTTACCATTATTGAATTATTTTTTAATATTATTTTTTTCGTATTGTGCTATTTATTTTCCTTTTCATATCAAAAATTTTTCAATGAAAAGTTCAAAAATTTAATCGAAATTTGTTCCGTTCTTTAAAAAACGATGTCAAGTTTTTCATGGGATAATTCAATTAAAAATAGTGAAGAAAATTTAAAGTTTATAAGCTTTCTTTATCAAAATTTGGAGAAGTGGTTTTTATTTTTGTTGGAAGCATTCAAAAATTTTATTCTTCCCATGGGTTTTAAAATTTGAAAATCTATTTGAATATTTGTACATTCCAAAAATGCATTTCAATATTTATTTATAAAATTATTTTAGACTAGTTTCTCCCATAAAAAAAGGAAAACTATAAGATTTTTTTATAAGATTAAGTCAATTCGTGGATTCTTCAGTTTCTCATCGACAGCGTCCATTGTTTGCGCTTTCGTCTTTGTGTCATTTATTATAGCACCAAATACATTGCTTTTGGCTATAACAAGTAGATAATTAAAAATTAATGAATTCTATTACTGGCCGGAAACTATATCAACCAACGATCGTAAAAAGATTCGAAATCAATCCCATTTATTAACGAGAAAGAGAAATCGAATGGAGATGCTTTCAGAAAAGTAAAATTGAAAAATGGTAATAGACTGTTTAAATTACGGAAAATATTGAATCTTTTCCTTTTTTCAGCCTATAGGAACGAAATAAATATTAGTGGAATCCACCGCAGTTGAACGAAATTAAACGAAATAATTTAAATCATTATTCATTCTTCCTCTGATTTCTAGTTTGCCTTTACAGCGGAAAAAAACTGGAAAATTTTTGGCGAAAAATTGATGACAAAAAATTCTGGCATTAAATGCCGGACGAAAATTTGTCTACCACTTTATGACCTTATGACCTTATTATCATCAAAATCGAAATAATCTGAGGCCAAATTTTCCTTCAATACTGATTTTGATACCAAATTTTATTTTATTTTACAATTATCTTCTTTCTTTTTTTTAGAAAGAAATTTGCCAGCCAATGTCATTTTCAAATCTGAATAATAAATAATAACAAACAATATTAGCAACAATAAAAAATGATAATGATGATAACAATAAAAACAATAATAATATTAATAAAAACAATGTTAGCAATGAAAAAGAATATTAACAATTAGCTGCAGAGAAGTTAAATTAACAATTGTAGGTGATTAAAATAAATGCTCGATACTCATCTTTATTGTTTCTGGTTTGGCTAATTCGACTGGCTGTTTGTACGATTGCAAATTTTTGCAACGATAAGAAGTACGAGTTGATTGCCACGCGGATTTTGAGACTTACTCCTATGCGAGGCAAGAACCTAACTCTCAATCCTCAGTAATCCGAGTCCATATCCACTTGTCTGCTATTTAAGCAATAATGCAACAATATTAGTGAATTGGGAATTCTGAGTAATATCAAGCACTCGACTCAACTTCAAAATGTGTATTGCTCACCACATTACTTTCGTTCATTCGATCTCTAAGATGGTTATTAAGAGAAGTATTGCGTTGAATGAAATTAATCAAAAAGCTTTTCTATTGGTTTCGTATTAAAAAATTGATTTCTGGATTGATTGTCATATGGCTTAATTTCCATAGAATTAGCCGAATTCGTTATTTGCTGTATGAAATGGAATCGATTCTTCGAAGACGATTATGTGTTTGTATGTTTGCACCAATGAGATTAAACATTTGATGATATTTTGTAATGGATGAAATGAAATGAAATTTATGTTTCCGCTCGAACTCGTCCAATCGTTCCAATGACACAATAAATAAAATGTATTAATGGACATTAAGCAAACAAGATGAAGCAAGACAATTCGCTCGATTTAAAATAAACAATATCAACGAAGTACTCAGTGATTTTCATAGTTCTATAATTATTATTTTGCACTAAACTGAAATTGAATCAGTTTACCAGTTTGACAAATAGTTGGACATGCAGTGCGGTCAGTGCATTATTTAAATCGAGAAATTTAGAAATCGAATAGAAATTACTTTTAATTAATCTGCTTCTTCCATATTTTTATTCTGTAAAGATTTATCGCTATCTATGTTTACCAATAGTTATGTTTCTTCCAGTAGATTTACGTCTAATTGTCTAAATACGCCACGAATGAACGAATTCATATTTCCAGCAAAAAATATATAAAAACGAATATATAAAAAATTTTAGGCGAGCAAGGTTATGATAACACCTTAGATGAGTGGATGGTGGCTTATTATCATGCTGAGAGTGCTCCGACTCTACTTTTTACAAGCCTTTAAGTGTTAAGCACTTACCGCAAGCTTATATCGTTCATTTATTTTTCTAGAGAGACCATCGTGATAAATTTTAAAAATAATCCAGATCCAAAAAAAAAGAGGCCTTTTCATTGCGCCATAGGCAAACATTTGATTTCTCTAAAAATATAAGAAAGGAATCATGGAAAAAAATAAAATTAAAACAAAATTAAAAATCAAATTGGTTAGTGAACAATAATTTTTAAACATTAATCAAGCTGACTTGCAGAAAGAATGATAATAAAGGATGATAATGACAACAAAACGAAAAGCATAATGATAATGATTAGAAAAATGAACATTTGATGAATGTGAATAAAAAATTTATTTCATGAAAATTTCGGATCGAAACAACTAAATCTAGTTTGTTTGTTGCTGATAACCCATATCAATGATTTATTTCTTTTTCAAGCACGTATTTTTTGGCTTGATTGGTTATCCTAATTATTAAAGTAAAATTCTCTCCCCAGGGAGTTACGGAGAATTATGATCCGTAGCTTCAGTATTACTCAGATTTCAGTTGCAATGATTGACTTGTCTCGTTGAAGAATCGAATCCGTGAAAGAATCGAACCTTAGTTGGAGCAGCAGGCCATTCTTTTTTTTTGTTACCAATGATTAATTACCATTTGGATTTGAAAAAATTTTGTAAAAATTCACTTGGCATCATCCTATAACTAAAAATGTCAGTTCAAATCTGATATACAGCAATTCATTGCTCTGTTTTCGATTGGTGTCACCAACAGGGCTTAGAAATTAACTTTTAATAATTATTTAGTTCTCTGGAAGGGGATTTTATTATGTTAAAATGCGCTATTTACAAAATTGCAAATTAAATAATTAAATAATTGACTGGTAGTTAAAAAATTTTAAATTTTTTAAATATTTTTTGAATTTTTCAATAATTTTTTCGTGATTATTCCATTTTAAGGGGAATTTTAGTTCAATTTTTTGATAATTTCCTTTTTTACAATAATTCACCGTCACTCAAAGACCCAATCTTTTGGCTACTACGATAGTGCAGGTTCGCCAGAGGCTATGGTACTTCAGCTAATCTAAGCAATAAATGACGAATGTTTCATCCAACTGGCCATCAAGACAATTCTAACCAAGTCGTATACCATTAATTCACCAAGTTTTGTGAAACTGATAGCTTAAAAAAAACTTTAAATCAATTTAAATAGTCCATCAGGTTAATGAAAGCTGAAGTGAAAGCGTAAGAAAATTCTGCATCTGCAAAAAAGTATGAAATGGGAGTAAATTCAATAGCTATTAAACTAAAAAAGTTTCTATGAAAATTATTTCTTTTAATCTAATTTCGATAGAATTCCAGTTCAACGAACTGCTTACATGACCCCCGGAAGATCCATCGTAAGGCCACCGCTTGTCGACAACTTTTTTATTTTTATGGCTCCAAGAATATTTTGGATGATTTCATATATAATGTACGAGTAATTACCCAAAATTTCATTATAATTTCTTGAATTAAATTCATAAAATCTGAATTAAACGTCGTTTTATTTAACGTTTAATGTCGTTTGCATGCAAAATTTGTTTGAAAAATGCCAAATGGCCAATTTTTTTAATAGCAAATTTAATGCATTGATGAAATCGCTCGATGTGGGCGAAAGGGAAAATAGAAAGACAATTATAAACTGGTCGCAGCTTAGATTTATTGCTTTTTTCATCATTTAATTTAATTGACTTTCTAAATTCTTTTTTCCCTGCAAAAATTTTTCTGCAGAAAGGAAATTATAAAATTTCTGAGAAATAAAAGTTAAGACAACCATTTATCAGTATAATTAAATATTTTGCAGTGCTTCACTTTAGCCAAATCTGTGCCGCTTCCTCCCTTCGGTGATTGAAATTGTCAATTCGAAATTGTTCTTTTTTTGTTTCAGCATATCGCATGGAAATAAGCGATCGCATGAAACATCATCCATCCTTCTTATTTGAAAGCAGGGAAAAGTCCAAATTAAAGAATTAAATCCGAGTTTTCACATTTATTTGATTATTTTATGTGGAAATGTCGAAAAAAGAAACGTTAAGGAAAAATAAAAGCCAAAAGCAGATAATATCCCCAATAATTACCTTTCTTAATACAAAGAAAGAAAAAAATAGTGTAAAAGCAAAAACTAATAGAATTATCGCAAAGACTTATCTCGAAGGCTAGCGAAATTCAGATTTTTCTTCAGCCAGCCTGGCCAGCCATTTGAGTTAATGTGGGTTGTTGCATTTAATGAAGTGTTCAGTGAGGATTGGCCGAAGATCCGTCAACTACCACTATTCGTACTTCCAAATGCAATTTGAATAGACGATTTACGAGGTGCTTAATCTTTTTCGTAAAATTAAAATTCAATAAGGAAAAACTGAGGTAAAAGGAGAATTTCGAAGAAAATTGAGAGGAAATGCCGGAAAACATATTTGCAAGAAATTTTTTTTCGATTTCGTCTTCCCATTTAATTTAAATTCATTTCCATTCATCCTCGAAGAAAACACTTAACTCGGAAAATTGACAAAATAAATTTCCTTGCAGAGGTTTAAGCAGAGAATAAATGCAAAATGACTTGTCTTATGGACGGATAAAATTGTTTTCAAACTTTGGAATGCCTTTTAATATTTCCTAAAAATTATTCTATTCCATTAATACCAAATAGCTTCGAAGCGTAATGCACCACTCTTTTGATACCCGTAAAATTCCTTAAATTCTCATCTTCGAATTTCTATTCACCTTCCATCTTTTACAATTACTCTTACAACTTGCAACAACAAAAGTACATTGTAGGGTTTATGGTTTGGGCATAGAGTATTAAGTATTATATGATTATAAGTATTAAGTATTATTATACTATTAAAGCAGTGGAAAAAAGTTTGAAGAGGGGCGTTAAAAGGAGCTTGGGAGGGTTTTCCATAGAACACAGCAAACATAAAGCGATATTAAAGGATTATAGGATTGAAAAAAGAAGGATTTCGAAGGCAATACCAAGCATTATTGGCTGTGGAGAAAAGGCACAAGAGCAACATTCCCTCCGTAGAGAGGGATAATTTGTTTTATCAGTTTGCACTGAAAAGCATGAGAAATTAAGTTAATAACTCGCCCCAAGTTTTCAAAACATTTGCTTGTGGCATTCATTGTAAGCAATTTTACGCCTATGGCATTTAAGCTCAAGTCAAGCCGATTGAAGGCCAATATGACCCGTGGTTATTGCGATGGCGATAGACACATTCATGGTGCATAAGTTCGTGGCGTAGTCAGAAAAAATTCTGATTATTCCTCTAAAACTAAAGATGCTTCGCGAAGAAATAAACGAGTTATTCCAGACACGCAATACTAAAATTTCTATAGATACTCGTCCAATTTCTTCTTCGATAAAATCTCCTAAAATAAAAAAACATCCTTAAATTTATAACCAACAATTATATTTTAATATTTAATAAACAAAAAAAAATTTGCCAGCAAATGATTAAATTGAACCTTAAATTTATTTCTTGATAAAACCCAGTTTTTCCTGACAAAATTGAGAAATAAGGCGACCTTTATGCGGACAATACTAGTTTATTGCCATAGTTTATTGCCCACATTCCTTAATCTTTCATCAAAAAATTTTCAAACATTTTTCAAACATAAATAACGAAATGAATAGCAAATTCATGAAACAGAAAGAGAAATTTTTTCCCATGCAAAAATCCTTGGCTAAAATAATTTTTGTAATCTCTGACTAACAAGAAATTATGGATACAATGGGTACCATTTATTATGGGTACCGAAAAGCACCTTAAAACAAATAATCACCATATCCTTAATACATGTTCAATAAAATTAGTTTTTAGCAATGACCATCATTTTTTACAAAAACCACTAAATTTTTATCATTAGAACGTTCATTTTCAACAGCGATCGCTCTTCGATTCATATCAGCAGAATATCACCATTCCTGTTTCGATATTTATGAGTAAGTTTTAGCACATGGCAAATGTCTTAAACAATATGGTATTGCAAATTTCAATATTAAACAACAATTTTAAAAATAGAAACGAAAAACACAACAATTGCATAACGGTCAATAGAATCGTTTAACCAGATATAAAATAACTCAAACATCCAAAAATCTTTTAGAACTATCAGTGTAAATTTTCTATTATCTGCTTATAGCTCATTTTAGTGCTGTCTACCATTTAAATACCCTTCAACTTTTCACTAATAATTAATCTGAAAAATAATCTTAAAAACACAAAAAAGTAAATGTAAATATATTATTTCTTATTGTATAATATCAAAAAAAGAGATAATAAGCAAGCACATGGTGAATAAAATCATTAATAAAATCATTAATAAAACATTGATATTTTATAACTAAATCACTTGAAATCAAAAAACAATTGCCTAAGTTACCGATTTAAACTAGGTGGATCAGCAGAATTGTCCACAAACGAGCGAAAAAAAGAAAATTTATTTATCATTGTCTCAATTTTGCCTCTAAATGAAATTTTCAGTTCCACATTTCTTATCAAATCGCTTGTAAGTTCGGGATCGGCATCTATCGAGTCGAAGATTCTGAAATTCAAATCGGAACAAAATTCTATATTAACTGATAAAAATCCTAATCCACGTCATCTACTGATAAACCCATTGGAAATTTAAAGGTATTCTACTAATATTAACAGCTTTGGTCTTACCAGCCTTATCTCAATTTTCCTCTCACTACTTTTTCAAGATCCTTTTCCTAAAAACTTTAAGTTAGTATCTTTATGGCAACCGAACAATGAGTTCAACCAATATTACACATAAAATAATACAACTTTACAATGTCAATTTCACATTTGATATTTTACTCACATTATTTTTACTCACATTAATAGTATTCAACTTGAAATTCCAAAAATTTCTATAAATATGAATATAAACTCAATAGCCCTTCATCATGTTTAATATATTAGATAAATCTTGGTGTCATATGCCCATTTCTGAATCTCCTAACTCCTTCCGGTTCAAGCCATTCTTTAAATAGATTTATGGGAAATTTATATTTTCATATCCAAGTTACATTAAAAAAATTTAGCGGCATCAAAAAACATTGAGTAAATTATCAGATATAAAATTGAAATTCTTAATTTAAGGATATGAACAAATACTTAAAAAATAAAAGGAGAAATAACATGGATTTGGGAAGAAAAAAAGATAAAAACCTTTTGCGACTCCAAAGTAAGGAGCAGCTGCCCGCAATGGCTATGGTAATATGCAAAGTTATCAGATAAGGCAAAACTTTCCAGGATGCCTTAGAGCCTTCCCAGCTGAGACAAAACAACTCGACCAGATTTCTTACTGCTGGATATTTATTACTTTTCTCAGCTTGTAGCACCTTGAAATATGAAAATTAACTTATAACTTTTACTATCAGAAAAAATAAAATATTGATGTAAGAAATAGAAATGAAAAAAATGAGAAAACCATGTAATAACAAAGATATGGAAGAGAAAACAGCGGAACAATAATGCCTGAAAATAAACCGTTAACTACGTTTCGGGTTATTATACACGACGAGCACGGTTCCTCTTCCCTGAAAAAAAAAATTTCTAATTTCTCTGCTTCTTCGATTTTAGAATTACATTTCAATTCGGTAATTAAACTATTAAGATGAATAACTAAGGAATTACCTAAAAAAAACAAATACCTAAAAATCGGATTAAGCACATGCGTCTGTTGAATTGCATAATGAACAAATGCAGACGTGTACATACCAAAAATGATTGGCACCTTAGGGCAATTCCGCATTATTTCCAATAATGGTGCATTTTTATTGAATAAAAATAAATCCGCGCAGATTTTCGATGCTAAAAATTTTACAAATACATCTATCATCTACTGTCTAATAGATAATTTGCCTTAAATTAGAAAAACCTTGCGAGATTTTTCAAGATGCTTTGCTTTAGTATCTGCGTAATTTGCCAGATATTTTGTAAATTTTTCTTGTCACGCTATTAAAGTTCTTTGTTCATCAAGCAAATTACGGCATCACTGAAGAAAACAACTCATCGAAATTTTGAAAATTCAAGGAGAGAATTCAAGGAGCCTTCTAATAAGAGAAATGAATTTTTAACTCAATTTTTTAGCTTGAAGTTTTGAAAAAAATCCGAAATAATCAAAAAACGTTGTACTAACCGATCAAACCTGACGAAGCAGAACTGGTCAAAAAACCTAAGCGGGTCGGCCAAATAAATGCCTGTTTTTCCATAAAATAAGGCCAATCAGAAATTAAGCTATTCATAAACATTATTTGATTTGAGCGGTTCATTTGTGAAATATGTGACCACAGTACATTAGAAGTTTTTAAAATATAGCCATTACTGAAAATCTTTACTAAGAAAATTAGGATCAACTCAAAATTCCAAGTTCTAAGGATAAAATGCATCGAATCAGTTAAAACTCCCGAAAACTGCGTAAAACATACAAACCCAGGTCTCGCAGCACCTTCTCCCGGAATAAGCGGTCCTGGCGTCCACAAATGAAGCGGATCGAGTCCAGCAGCTTGATTCCCTTCCATATATAACTGCTGGGTCTAGAAAAGAAATGACAATTAACAAAATAATCAAGTTTTCGTCACTGAAAAACGTCTTTGCCCACTGAACGCGAACTTATCATTTCCCCTCACTTTGACTTATTTGAAACATTTTGCAAATTTTCGAAATTATACACTGCGCCATGAATTGGAACATTTGCGGGCGGGCAAATCAGCGACCTGGTAAATGAAAAATAACATTGCCGTTAAAAGAATCGTTCAGCAGTTCTCTAAAAAAACTACTAGATGTCCTCCTAAATCACCAAAACTACACCAGACGAGGTTAACTCTGCCAGCACGACTTTTCAACGAAAAAAAATCAATCACTAAAATGCGGCCGTTCAACTGATAAATTTTGCGATAATTCGGCGAATTCTTGTCTTAAATTTCGCGTTGTAGGGGTGCGAGTTGCGAGGTTTTGGTTCTACTGGGGACGGTTTGTCTTTTCTCTTCTTTTTTCTCGTCCCGTATATTTCTTCGTTTATTCTTTCCCCGTAGGGCTGTTTCTATTTACCTCTTCTTTACCAATAGGTATGTCGCAATCTCAGCAACTCAGATGCCGAGTATTGAAAATATCTTTCCCTTCAGGGAATGTGAAATTAAGGATTGCGAAATCGTAGAGATAAGAGAATAATCGGATACCTTTGAGACTTCTGAAGGAATCTCGAAGGGCAGTGAAATTTTGCATAAAGGCATTTTCAGCAATGCTCGCAGCAAAATTTGTTCCAGTGTTATGCGCCTTAGGCGTTTCGTTTAGCTTACCTTTTTCTAATACTTCATTTCTGGCTTGCTCGACTAATGATTACCAAGGTGAGCCTACACAGAATCACCGCTTAGCTGGCAAATCTGCGGTATTTGGTCTCAATTGAAAGAATCTACTCTCTCGTCCTTTTCCAAACTATTAGTATTAACGACAGTCATTTTTAGATTATTAACGTTTTTTTGTCAAATTTTTATGGAATGTCAAAGTGACGGAGTGTCTTCTTGTGGAGATATTGTAACGAAGATTCATTCTTCCTCGCTCATTTCTGATAATTTACGGAAATTAATTATCGCACGAATTGATCGCCAGAATCTTCTTTGTAATCAATTTCAAATTATTATTTCATCTTGTTAGTTTCCTTTTTTTCTCATTTTCTTCATTATCCTCCACTTTGATTGGCTGTTTTTACTAAATTGATTAAAATGGTACTATTTTATTATTCTAACTTTATTTGAAGATAGTAGAAGATTTAGATGAAAGTTTGAGAAGAAAATAAATAGGAAATGGAAAAAACTTACCAAGACATCAAGCATTTTTCTTTTATTTAAACAATGTCGGAAGCAACTGTCCAACTGTCTAAAAAAATTCAATCCAAAGGCCGAATGTCAGAAAATTCTGCCTATCGGGGGCTTCGAGGAATTACAACGGTAGCAGCACAACGGGACTGAAATTGCTATTGGAGTGACATGGCTTTGAGAATGGAGACGGAGGTTTGATTAGGTGATAATAAGAAACTATCTCGCCTTCTTCACAAAGCAACTCGAGAAGAGATCAGTGAAATGATCTCTAGGTCTTAATGGGGCGTCTGTTAAGACTATTAAAGATCACCTCATAAGATGGAAAGAATTTTTTGAGGTGCAACTGTGAACCACTACCAACAGAAAAGCAAATAATCTCTGTAATCCATAAGCTTAAAGCCAATAAAATTCTTAGAGAAGATCTTCGGACTTTTCAAATGTTTTCCATCATCGGTCATAAATCACCTTCAACAAATGTAATCTCTTGTATGGCAAACGAAAATAAAACCAGATGATTGGAGCAGATCAATTCTGCTTCCAATTCTTAAGAAAGATGACGGGACGTACTGCGACAATTACCGAGGAATTAGCCTACTTCTGATATCTCTGGAAAAATTTTCTGCTTCTGTTAAATAGACTCGAGATATTAGAATGTCTCCTAGGTAAGCTGGATTTAGACCGGTACGGTTACGATCGTGCTGATATTTACTCTAAGAAAGATACTTGAACATCGTTTTAAATACCAACAACCCACCGTCATTTGCTTCAATTCTGCCAACTGCCTTCGATTCGATTGATAGAGCAGCGCTGTGGAAAGTGATGGAATGTAACGGTATTCCAGAGAAGATCATTCGGCTAATTGGCATAGGTCTGTATATATGGGAAACTGACTCACCCTTCCGAAATATAAACTGTTATTCGTCAAGGATGCATTCTTTCTCCTACAATATTTAACTATGCCATAAACTGGATAATCGCTTATCTGCTCTAGAGATATGCAAATCAATCCAAAGCATAGCATCACAGGCCTTGAATATGCTAATGGTATAGTCCTTTTTGTTGATAATTATAGTGAAGTGCAAATAAATGCAAACAATGTATCAACAACTTCAACGAGAATTGGACTCAGAATCAATGTAAATAAAACAAAAGTTTTTTCGTCTTATATCCAAAATGCTGATAAAATACCTATTTTTATCAATTTATTGCCGGTTGAGGAAGTGCCCGACTTTAAATATCTTGGATTCACTCTAATCCCAAATGGCCAGGCAAAGAATGGAATTGTAGCTCGGATAACAACCAATGTGTTTTCCCGATTGACAAAACCTTTATGGAACCGTCACAAAATCACCATAAAGAAGGAAATTCCTCTCCATATAGTTGTAATTCGCTCGACCTTTTTATAATTGAAAAGGCCAATAGCCAATGAGAGTGGAAGATATTAAGAGTTAAGAAGCTATCAGCCTTCGACCAATCATATCTAAGATGTTTACGTTTTACGGGTCCGTCGAATGGATAAAATCGCACATAATTATATCTATCTTCACTCAAATACCACCTGTATTATCACAGAGAATCGCCTTCGTTAGTCTTCGTCACACCACAAGAATTGAAATTTCCTTACTTGCTTAACCCTGTGATGGGTGGTGTCAAAAGTGAGTTGGGCCAATCAAAACCTTGATTGATACGGTTAGAAAATATTTTGAACGTATAGGTGGACCAGATGACATATGGACTTCGATGATGGAAAAAGGAATGGTTACTTTTTATTACTGTCGACGATGACATCAGATCGTTTAGCTTGGAAACGTTTTACCTTTGTAGCCAGCCTAACCAGTAATGATGAGAGCTAGAAGAAGACGAAGAAATGAAATGGCATTGTAACATCCTTAAAATCTGTGGTACTTCTTTCTCTCGTATACCAGGCTAAACCAGCTTTTAAATATTTTAAAAGAATACTTTTGCAGATAATAGTGAAGTAAGTCATCGGTCATCCAAGTTCAGGAATTATTCCTCCATTCTACCTCCGTAAGAAAATTTTTTTGTTCAAAAATACATATTGAAATTTTCTAAAAAATATATTTTCATCATTTTTTACTTTTACTTTTCTTCAGTTTTTATTTATTACTTAGTTTTTATTCATTATATCAAATTAATATTGGTGATATAGTGAAATTAGCATAGTTTTTAAACTTAATAAGACTTTATTTTAGAATTGAAGGAGATGATGAAATTGCTGAATTGCGATCAAGGCTGCATGATTTATATTATAAAAAAGAGCAAAATGATCAACAACTCATTGAATCGAACAATCAAATTGCAACACTTAAAGTGGAAAAGGATAATCTATCATTAGAGTAATTTTAAATGTATTTTTCAATATTTTTCGCAGAATGAACCTGAAATTTTAATGTTTGCTAAAAGAAAAAAGGTGCTATACTGAAAAATATAATATATAATATAAAATGTAAGAAAGATATAAGAATAAAATAAATATGGGTCCCTCAAGTCCAGTTCTAAGCTCAAAAAAGAGTGAATAAGGGCTTACATTAATATTTCAATATCCATATCATTATCTTCTTCAGATTTTAGGAACCAGAACCTCCTGAAGCAAAATCATTCTCTATTAGTAAAACTGGAAGAAAAGGAAGAAATAATTAAGAAAATGAAAGAATCTCTACAATTGCTAAAAGATGATTTATTCTCTTTGCAGGTTTATTGTTATCTATTTTTTTTAATGCTTTATTGCTACTTCCATCCCTTTTTTCGAATCGTCTTACCTGCTATGTTGCTTTCATACACGCCAGAACCGCATTATTCTTCTATCTCCTTTTTTTCCCAATTTATATTCCATCTGGCACCTGTCATGTTATTTTTGCAATTTCATAGTTTGTAACTTGGAAAAAGTGCTCAGATTTGCCAAGGCATTAGGTAAGAACATTGATTAGTGTTAAATGATTCCAGTTGAGTTTGTAAGGGTCAAATTGACTGAAAGGGGTTTATGACGATATTACTGATGGATTTTGATGGAAAAATACATCTGAATTTTAAGATGCTAAGAGGGCATATAATTGAGTAAGTTTAGGGAAGGCCTTTCATTGTATATGGGAAATTTTAGGTGATTTCAGAGGATTCCAACAGAGTGGACTAAGATTGTATAACAAAAACTATTGGAGGAATTTGAAGCACCTTTCCAGATATACATGCCTATTAACCAAGCACTTTGTTATAGATGAATTAGTTAAGAACAGTTAACCATTTAATATTATTTTTCGATTTTTCAGACAGCCTACAATGCTATAAGTGACCAACGTCTTCGTGATATGACGGAAAAAGAAGATCTGATTTCTCGTATTAAAAAGTTAAAAGAGGAACAAGTTTACTTTATTAACCTTCAAAATGAACTAGAGAACAGGTTTTTAACTTCGAATTTTTCGTTAATTTTGACCGTTAGGTCGAAAAGTGAACAAAACAGCAAAAAATTTAATAAAGAGTGAAAAAACAAAGTTATTTTCGTAGGATATAGAAATATATATAAGTAATATGGGCGGCCATACCATAATGGTTAAGGCCAGCGGTTAATATGGAATTTTACAGTAACGGTTGCAGCCAGTCTTCTTTCCTTTCCTATAAAGGTCTTGGGTTATGTTAGGGGACCCAAGGTTGAGAGTGACCCACAAGAGCTGAAAAAAAAATATATATATATATGAGAGGAATTTTAAAATATATATATATATATATGAGTGCGATAGTTTCGGCGTTTGAGGGAGGGTAATGGGGTTCGATGAAGGAGGTATAATGGTGAAGGAGGTATAACAAAAAAAATAGCACTCTTATTGATTGCATTGAATTGTTAGCTCTAAATTAGCTCTTGAATCGTTGAATCGTTATAGTATCGTAATCATCATTCGATGTGTACCTCAAACTTGGGTAATTAAACCTTTATTTAAATAACAATATAACCAAATAATAAAATTAGGTGACAATGTATTACATCACGATTCGATAACGAAAATTACAAAATGATATAAATATAAATTTCAACCAAAGAAATTATATTAAATAGATTAATAAAATTATAAATATACCCTCAGCCCACCAATCACCTATCAATAAAATCGAATGGAATCGTATCCGAAAAGGAGAAGAATCGAACATAAAACTGCGGTCGCAGCCACACTTGTTTGATCCTCAGTCGATTTATCGATTCTGCATTGCTGGAGGGGATTTTGATAGCCAAACTCGAATTGTTCCTTTGGCAATGCTTTCAGTTATCTCTATGGAGCTATTCAGTAATGGAGCTATTAAGTTGATTGATCGATGAAGCTGAGCAAATCTTACTATCGGAACTTCGATATAGATCTGTGATTGTATGTATTTTTTGCGTCTTAAATCCCATAAGTGTGCGGTTATTCTAGTATTCTTCGTCCAATTATAAGTAATTTGACCTCTTATCTTTATTTTTATTTCACATTTCTTGCCTAGACCGTTCTATGATCTATGATCCATGTTTTGTTGCGCGTTAAGTCACACGGATGAACAAAATCAAGATTTTCTCTCGTTATATAATAAAGTGGTCACGTCTCTCATTTACCACAGCTGCGATCTCATACAAAACTTTTGTTCATTCAAAAATTTTCATTCAAAAAGATTCAAAACTTTTGAATCGATCTGTGATTCTGCGACCTATGATTCTTTTTGCTACTATTACTCTTAATGTCCTTTTCATACTTCCAGTTAAATCCGCTATATTCCGTTATATTCCGTTTGTATCCTGTATTTTGTGTCTTTTGATAAAGTATTTTGTATTATCTGATAGTAACGATCTTAGTTTCCTTCTGAGCGCGATGAGATTTCTTAGCGATAGTAAAAAACTTTCTACCTTCAACTCGTCGACGAGTTCGAAGTGAATCGTCCTTATGAAAAGGCATTAAATAAAGCGATCCAGTTTTTGCCTTGTAATCATCTTGGTTTATCAAAATAGGGCCTGCCAAGTCAACTCCAATATGTGAAAAAGGGGCACTCCGATTCATTCGTATTTGTGGAAATTTGTTCATTGTTCGTAATTCAAATTGCTTAGCCTTCCATCTTTTACAATATATGCACTCATTGTTGGTAATTTTTAATTTTTTTTAATAATTTTTTTCTAATCTTTTGAATGCGTTTCAGTATCCAATAAGTTTCGGTTATGGAGCATACTGTTGGGATGAATTGTTATTGGTGTTTATCCACAACAATTAATTTGGTTAATCGATGACTTCCAGGCAAGAAGATCAGTGGTTGTTCGAATCTTCCTTTTATCATCCACAAATTGTCTTCAGTTGTTTGGCCAAATTTATGGATATCTTCCTTTACAACCTGTCTGAGCTTATTGTATTTCTTGTGCAGTTATTGGACTCGTTAGATTCTCTCGATTGCAATAATTTCGAGTTCTCTTACTGATTTGGTTGACAAAATGTAAAATGCACCATTACCTGTCGAAGTCTTCTAAAATTACTAAATCTTTCATAATCTAGTATAGGTTGTAATTTTGATACCGTTTTGGACATCGTGACCAACATGTTCGTTTGTAACTTTCTGATCCACTGTCCTCTAATTCATTCGAGCCTGGATGGATGCAGAGAGAATCGTTGCTTTCTTGTGCCCAAGTGATTTGCCATAGGTATTTTTGGTAATTTCGATTGCATCGGTAAATTGACTCGATATCGCCCTTCTTTGGTCATTTTCCACATTGTCAGCAAATCGTTTTATGGCTAAATCATTGCATCGTTGCTCGGTGCTTCAATTCTCATTCGTTCTAGTGACAAGAACTGGTGTAAATTTAAGCTATCGTTCATTATGAGATTAGTGGTGTGTGATGGGAGATGGCAATTTGTTGACCCAAAACCGACTTAAAAATTGCTGGCTTACTGTGATATAAATTAAAATTGGAAGTTAATCATTTTGATCGTCCAATATCGAATCTTTCGAGAAAATTAGTGTCAATGATTATGTGCGGTGTTTCAAGTACGACTGGTACCAAAAGTTTAAATTCAGTTATTTGTATGATAATTTCGCAATTTTTGCTCGTTGAATCGATTGTATTAACTTTTTTATCATATATATACCTTTATTATAATTGGTTCGTTCGTTTCTATTATTTCGAAATTCACTTGATTATTGAAATGTCGAATTGGATTAGGATTTTCAAACGTATTTTTTTATCATCATCGTTTCTCTTTGGGAGGTAGAATGGCTCAGTGAGTTGTTGCTCAATTGGGAGCGCCGATGCTGAGGTTCGATTCTCCGCGGGAGTAAACCTGTACAAAAATCCGGGTGATGCTGGCGACTTACCTATATTTCTATCGGCAAGGGACCCGCTGGCACATTGCTCAATGTGAAAGCCAGTGGAGCGAGTTTAACCAGTAATGGTAAGAACTCTGACTCTTTCGTAACAGATCAAATTGATTTGTTTACAAGAGATTCAGTTTATGTAAAAATGTTGTGCTCCAGTATCAAATAATGTCGTTTTCATATAATGTAAACATGGATTTCGAATTTTGACCTCGCAACGCATCAATATTGGTATTTTATTCTCTATATTGTTCGTTTTAGTTGTAAAGTTTGTGATTGTATATTTTGATTAAGAAGTATTCCGATTCTTACATAACGCTGATAAGTGTGGACCCATGGAATGAAAGCACTTTGTTTTTTTTAGTACTTTGTTTGCTATGTTTGTTGTGCCTATCGTTCAAGCATTTGAAACATGATCTATTTTTTTGCTATTTGTATCCTGTCGTGATAAGTTTTTACAGTTTCCCAGAGCTCCTGTCCATTACTCCAGTGCTCCTCACTACAGCACGTAAATTTTCTATTATGCCACCTGCTTTTGATTCCGTTATGGAATAGGCTGATATATATTTATCTCTATCCTCCTTTGGTTTCGGTTGACAGGTTTTCTTTGGTTTGATTTCGGGCTTTACTAACGCAAATTCCTTTGATTTTTCTTGATTTAATCGATTGTATGTTGTCATTATTTTTCTTTTCAATAACAGTATCCCTCAACCTCGCAATTTAGCCAAGTTCCAGTCGTTATCGTCTAGTTTACAATGCACGATTTGACTGTAGATTTGGTGTTCATTTTCGACTAACGCCAGTAGTGTTTCCATGTGACTCCACGTTTACTGGCACTTTCTAATTTAGACAATATCAATAGGGTTTGTTTCAATATTTTGTAATCGTCTTTCGTACTTTTTCTAATGCTGGATAGTCTCTTTATTAATGCATGATGTTGGCTTTCTGATCACCGCCCATAATGGCGCGTTCTAGCGTATCCAGTGATATTTCGTAATTCAGTTATTACGCAGATTGTTCGTTTATTAATTTTGCCTGTTCTGTAAGATAGTTAAACTTCTGGACTTTAGTGATCGGAAGTCCATCGATCATGATTGGGAATGATGATATAAATTGTTCCCATTTATTTTCATCTCCATCAAATTCGCAGAATGATATCGGTGGTAAATGGGATGTCGATGTAATCATTTCAACAGATTTTTTCCAACAGATTTGTTTTCTAATTTCTTCTAATCTTCCATTCCATTTCTTCTTCCATTATAATTTCAACTACATTTCTTCCATTATCAGTGTGGTCTTGAACCTTACTTGCATCACTGTTCGATTCTTGGACAGATTTTTTCATGAAAATGAAAAAATTTCTCGTATGCTTTTTCTTCTTTTTAGTTCCCAATTAATGCTGTTGTCCATTGTTTATCGAAGTTGTTGAGCTGATTCAAGTTCATCTCTATCATTGATTTGTCTTCTCTTATTTCTTTCAAATCCCTTTGGTACACTTCTCTCTCATTACTAATTCATCGTACTTCCGGTCATTTTGAGGCACTTTATGATCTTTTGCAACTTCCATGTAAAACTGGTAGTATCTCGGATTTAGCATTTGATCGTCGTAGACATTTTCCCAAGTTTGACAATCTTTTAATAAAAGTGTCGTGCAATCCTTTGAGAATATAATAAAATAAAATTATGAAGTAGTGTAAACTTTTTTAATCGAATTTGTTGTCCTCGTTACTCGTTCACCGACCGAACCCCATTTAACTAAAGAAGAGCACTCTGATTGTTTTGTTTTGAATCGTTGGTCGTTAGCTCTTTTTGTTAGCTGTTCTATAAGATAGCAAAGCTTCTGGACTTCCGATCCTTAAAGTCCAGAAGTTTTGCTGTCTTATAGGACAAATGGATCGTCTTAAGGAATGCTGAGAAGATGTAATGAAAAATTTGAAAGAATTTTAAAAGGTAACGAGTTCTAGGAATAAAATAAGTTCTAGGCAATTTTTTCGGGCGTACATAAACATTGACATTGTTATTTTATTATATATTGAATATTGAATAAGTTATAAATCGTATGATGGAGATATTTTTTTATATATTAATCTAGGTTTATTTAAAATTTTTTTTCTCAAGTGAAGCCTTTCTTTTTTCTTTAATGAAATGAATGGTAGATTAAGAAGAGAAATTTCCTTTCTTTTTTAAAATGTATAATTTAAAACTGAATATTTCATGAAAACGTAATTTTTTGTTCATTTAATATTATTTTCAAGAGAACGTCGACAACGTGGTCAGTTGAAACTCGACGATGCAGTCAAAAAAAATAGTATACCTGGCGGCGAAAAATCGTAAGCAATTATGATAAACAAAATTATGATAAACAAAAAAGCTACGCTAAAAATTTTGGAAAAATTCAATGCTAGATGTTTTAAATGTAATGAATAGCACCTTTCAGTTTCGAAATGATTGAAATAGATGAAGGATCAAATGGTGCTTCATCTTGCGACATCATTCCCAACCAATGCATTTTCAAATTTGTTAGTTTTAAACTAAAGATATTCAAAATTACTATTCTGTTTTTCAAATAATTCATTTTAGAAATAAAGAATAAAGAAATGCTCAATCTTAGTGGAATGATTTCGACACTTGCTGTAGCTGATAGTAAATTCTTTTTTAATTCGAAGGAGAAAAGCGTAAAAAATCTTAGGGGGAAGTTTGAAAAAAATTTAAATAATATAAGAATTTTAAAAAATCAGTATTTAAATTTCCTCATCAAAATTGTTGCAAAAGGGAATCTATAGGCATCATCATATGGAGAAATAAGCGATGTATTATGGCATCCTTCAGGCGATTATTTTGCTGCTGCTGGTGATGATCGGAAAGTTCGTTTATTTACCACATCTTTTGGCAACAAGCCGGAAATAAAGTATGTTTATGCTCTATTCTTCATTTCACTATGATATATATAAATGAATACTAAAATTTTTCATTTCATTTCTTTATTTTTCTTATATAATTACCAAAAAGATGATCGAAGTTTTCTTCAGAGCTAATTTGGAGGGCTGTAATGGTGCCGTACTTAAACTTGATTTTGATGCAGATTCAAAACAAGTGCTCGCTGCAAGCGCCGACTTTGCCATTCGTACCTGGAATATTGATAATTTTCGTATAAAAGTGAATTTTTTTGTTTTTTCTATGGAAAATCAACAGCAATTTCTTTATTAAAACAACTATAATTTAGGCATATTTCTTTATTTCTTTATTCAGCAATTTCTTTATTAAAACAACTATAATTTAGGCATCGCTCACCGGTCATGGAGATAAAGTCTCTTCAGCAAAATTCCACGGAGAAGGTACAAGAATCATATCGGCCTCTCACGATCGAACAATAAGATTATGGGATCTACATTCATGCATAAGTAAATCATTTCTAATTACTAATATTTTCTCCTAGTGCTTTCCATCCCCAAATCCTTTTAAGTAACTGAAAGAATTCTTTTGAAAAATCACGATTATAATTTCCAAGCTGAGTGGAAATTTATTTAATTGATTGTTTTTAAGCCGTCAGGAAATTTTTGTCCGGCTCTTTGGCTTATGATATTGTATCCAATTATCGGTGTAGTTCAATGATGATCAGTGGACATCATGACAAAAAAATAAGAGTTTGGGATCCTAGAAGTTACGAACCTGTAAAAACTATCGAATTGGATGGGCGAATTACGTCATTAGCAATTTCGTCAGGTGTTTTTATAATTTTTCTTTTTCATTAATTTTTTTCATAGTCTTCATAGTTCAAATATTCTCATTGCGTCGAAGAAACCGCCAATTTTATTTTTACTTATTCCGTATTCTTTATTTTCTGAATTATTCTTTAAATTTCCTTTTATATTTTATATTTTATGTACATTAAAAACTGAATTGGTGGTAACGCCTTTTGAAATTTTGCCAATAAAATTTTAAAAGTATTATGCTTTTAAATTTTTAATATTTGATTTTATTTCAGATTTCGAGAGTCTTTTATGCGCTAGTCGCAATGAAACACTATCTTTAATCACTCTGCATAATTTCCAAATTCTACATTGTTACAGGCATTTTACCTTATCAAAAGATTTATAATCTTAGCTGTTCAATTTTAAAAACTAATTTTATAAACTTTTCAATAAATTAAGTTTTGAATTTGGCTTTTCTCAAAATTATTACAAAAACTTGATCAATTGAATTGATAAAATGGTACTACTTTTTTAATTTTTTTTGTCCTTAATTTTTTTAATTATAGCGCTGACAATTATCGAACATCAGGCGATTTAGGGCGTTGTGTCATTAGTCCAAATATGGAATATTGTGCTGCCGGCTCATTAGAAGGACAGATTTTTATATGGAATCTTCACAGCACGAAATTAGAAAAAGTTCTTCACAAAGGCGGTCATAGGTTATTAAACATGTCTTTCCATTTTTGAAATTTTATTTTTTTTGCATATTACAATAGATGATTATTGGAAATTTTTTTTCTGTTATATTTAATTGATAATAAGCTTAAATAATTAAATTAAATAAAATTTATATTCCAGTCGACCGGTTACATCGTTATCTTGGCATCCAAAAGGAAATTATCTTATAAGTGCAGATAAGGGTAAAACATTATGCGTATGGAATTCTTGAAATAATTTTTTCTTCACCGTTCAAAAATTTATGCGTGTTATCATTTTTCTTCTCTTTTCTCCAGTTTCAGTTTCTGAATAAAGTAATGTATTTATAACTCGATGAACTAGTAAGATTGGTAGCTTTTTCGTTTAGTGGATAAAGGCAAACTATGTCAAACCACATTTATTTTGTAATAAAAAGCAAAAAGCGAATTTGATTTCCTTGCTAAACTTCTGATTTTTAGTAAGAATTTTCATAATAAAATTGTTATAAAACTAATAAAAGCGATAGTATTATTGCATTTTTTGTTCCTAAATTTATTTATTTTTTCTATAAATATAGATGAGATTTGTCATTTCCTACCCATGGCAAGAGTCTAACGCTGTTCGAATATAACAAATACCGAATCAGGCCAAACAGTTCCACTTTCGCGCAGCTGAAGATGCATCTGCAAAAATAAATTAAGGAAAATGTTTAATTTATATTGATCATTTTCACCATTTTTTTCTTACATTTTTGTAAATTTATATTGAAATAATCAAATTTCAAATTTTACATCAAGTTTTTTGTCGAATAAAGATTTGTAAATATCTGTCTTTTTGCGTACTTATGGTGAATTTCATTTTCACATAAAATTTCCCTTTAAATTTTATTATAAAAAAGCATGTTGAAAGTCTAAAGGAAGTTATATTATTTTTAATCTTGGCCATAAATGGAAATTCAACAATTTTTGACCGCATTGAAATGCAAGAATTCCATGGAAATTATTCTTGTGATGTGAAAAAGAAGCGGAAGTCAAAAATGACACTTCACAGTGAAAACAATTCGACTTACATTACAGCAATTTGTTGTTCGGATATAAAATCTTTTCAAGAGATAGCAAACTGTCGCCTTGATTTCAAGTAGTGCAAATCTCATTCCAACACACTGCCTTGCTCCCATGCCGAACGGCATCCAACTTAAAGACTCATTTCGTGTTCGATTTCGCCCAAATCTACTTTTGAAATATTGACTTCAGTCGTTTTTTCGATTCACTTCATTTTTTCGAGAAAACCTTACCTTTCTGGTTTGAACTCATTCGCATCATCTCCCCAAATATCGACATCGTAGTGGAGACTCCAAGTATCGAAGATAATACTAAGGTCCTTAGCGAATTTATAGTCGCCAATTAAACAGTCTTGCATGCATCGTCTTGACTGAAGCCTTTAAAGAAAGTACGTCAAATATTCACTTGAAAGTTTCATATTATTAGAAGACAGTGGAGCCAGCCAAGCCAGCACTGATTCTCTTCTGCTTTGGTTAGCTCCACTGACTATCCGTATGAAGACTCTTCGCCAGATGGGTCATCTGGGGATTGAAAAGGAAATGGACAGAGGAGATAGTTATTCCTTTATTGTTCTTAGAGGAGTATGAAAGTGACCGAAAGGGGGTCGAATTTCGCTTTTATTTTGTTTAATCGCATTTAACGATAGAACGAAAAATAAATACATTGCAGCATGTGGAAAAAGTCGAAGAGTTTCGGCCACTACACACTGCAAATATGGCATTTGTGATATGGTATCAAAATTTATATTTTTTTCATTGTCAATCTCAGAACGCAAGTTCTCTTGAACATCGTAATGCTTCGATAACAAATATAAGAGATATGCTAAGGTATTAGCTGTTGTATCGAAACCGGCCGATGTTAAGAACCGACACTGAGCGATTATTTCCTGAAATTCAAAAATCTTTCATAGAAGGTGCTATCCTTAATGTTACACCAAAAGTAACATTTAGAATGCGAGTACAATAGACACCTTGTGCAGAAGATTTCCTGAATTCTTGTGGTTACTAGTCATTAAACCAAGATTCTCCAGTCACCTTAAGGTTTTTTTTGTAGTTAAATTCCATAAAATATAAAATTGCCAAGTAATAACTGAATTTTAAAGATCTCTTGCTAGCCACTAGCCGATAACCCAAGATTTTTTTAAAAAAATGGAAATTTATGAGGATAAAGTTTGGACCTCTGGGATAATTTTTTTCGTTATCCTGAAATTGCAACTATTTGTAAGCATGCCATGCGGTAATTTCCATCCATCCCAGTCGCTTTTTTCATAGTTTTTCAAGACTTGCAAAAAGCTATATTTCTCCTGAAATGTTTTATTTTTTAAAGGCCTACGTTGGATGAAATAATGTTTATAGCCTTTGTAATTTTTGCTGAATATTTGAATTGAAGCAAACTTGAATATCACCGTGACGGTTTTCGCCAATTAATTTTACTTTCTACTTTCTGCTTCAATAGAGATAAAATTCGCCACTAAAAAATGTCTGGGTGGCGACCCATTTATAATACTTCTATCGCTAAATAACTCCGTGATAATCCATTTTCATTTCGAACCTTATTAAAGACCAGGTGAGATAACCGAAATGATGAGCGCTAATCACATAATTAAATTCGCTTACTGGCCAGGATTTAACTATTTGAAAAGAAAAAATAAAAAAAAACAACGCACCATCAACCTAGACTGATCATTTGCAAACATCTTGAGTAATTTGTTGAAAAGCATCGTAGTTCCATCGGAACGACGCAACATTTTATGTATAAATGAATTTATACCATTAAGAAACGGGAAAAGAATTTTTAGTTCTGGCAAATGCCCTGAAACAAACTGCTTTCCTTGTAATTGTCTTAAAGCACTCGTCCTACAACATTCACCATTTGTAGTTAGGGATTCTTCATTGGATATTAAAATGTGATACTTCCGCCAGAGAATCATTTGGAGACAGAACAAGCTATAACGCCAAGATTCGACTTTTGGTGATAAGTCTACTCCTATCAAAATGGAGCAGCCGAACCATAATGCTACGGTCTACTGCCTTTTCTAAGTCGAAGTTTAAAAAGCATTGTCCACGACGGCTAAGTAGAGAAGGGCAGAAGGAAGGTGCTTATGAGATAGGGTATCGCTGTGCGAATTTTGTATTTTATATTTGCTATTAATATAAGAGTTGTAATTATTACAAATATAAAGACCACAAAATAATCATGCAATTCTCGAACTACAAAGAATTACGAGTGAAAGACAATTCTTACATTACCTTTATTACCTAGTAATTTGTAAACATCATGTGGTTGAGGTTTGAGGCTTTGATAACTGCTGTTAATAAACGCTGTTACCATTTGTTGTGGGCGCAAACAACAATAACAAAAGGGATAAAGCAGCAGTGGTAATGAATCGGCGAACTACTGGACAAATTAAACGAGCAGTATAAATCCACTGAAGTATTTTCTCACCCATTTCCACCCAGTCCCTCATAACAGGTTTACTGCGAGTGGATGTCCGAAATCTGAAGTCTGATTCTCAACACATCATCCTATCTCCTAACGTTACTAATGGGACATGACAAAATATTTTTGACGGAAAATAGAAAGGATTTGAGAAATATTGAGAGTTATAAGGAAGTTGTTAGGAAAGTATAGCGGTATCTAAGATAAAGAAGGACAAAGACTCGAATGAAAAATAGCTTTTATGTAAAATATAATCAAAGAGCAAAATTATGAACTGTCGCTCCAAAAAACCAACACATCATGGTGGATAAGGAAAATTTATCGGATTTCTTCACCGCTCCAAACATTTTTACAATTATTTTCAAAAAGCCTTTCTTTTCTTCTTGATCTCCATACCAATTAAAACAACATTTGGAAATTATGTCGAATGTCAAAGTCTGAAAACGACTAAAAGATTTTTAATGGAAATTTTCAGAAAAATTTCTTCTTTTGCCAATTTTTTCACTAATTTTTCATTTTCATATTTCTATTTTACAAAATATTAGCCATCTCCTTAAAATCATCAGTGTTTCAAAATTTTCATCAGAATAATATTACATACAAAGTAGAAATTCTCATAAATTCTGGTTAGGCTAATTTCGCTGGCTATTAATAATAAATTTATAGTAAAATAATGAATCAACTTAGTAACAGAAATACGGCACCACGCGTATTTTTTAATGGGAAGTTTACTCCTGCCAACAAGGATCGATCCGATAAGGACCCTCGCCTCTCAAGATAATTTGAGTTATTACCCACCTGGCCACCTTTATTGATACTATTAACATAATAAAATGTTTCAAAGAGAAATGAAGAAACGAATACCTAAAAAAACTATAAATACAAATTACCAATGAATTTCAACTGGAGTTGAAGAATCCGACTCCTCTGCTAGTTGATCCATAAAAGATTCGATTGAACCACGCATTATTGGAAATAACTGAATTTTTTGAAAACTTAATAAAAATTAAAAATTTGAATTCAATCAAATTATTCGAAAGCCATCAAAAGAATCAAAACCTAATTTATTCACTTATTTAATTCGGTTTAATCATATCACATCATTAAATTATTTAGCGATTGATAAACAACCAATTCGCATTTTACCTATTTCGTTAAAGTTAACCTTTCTCGCTTATTGGTGATCGGTTTTTGAGTTTTCCTTTCAGTTAAAACCACAAAATTATCCAAATATGACAAATTCAATAGTGACAACTTGAGTCACTTGAGAACAGAAATATAAGTTGATGCGATTAAAAATAGAATTCAAAAAAAGGAGAATTTCTAGAATTATGAAAACTTTTGGCATAGAAAAAATCAGCGAATAGGAAAAGTGGAAAGCCGACACTACCGAAAATTTTATAATATAACCTCTGAAAAAGTGCTATAAAAGAGAGATTTCTATTATCCTACTTTTCTTAAATTCTGCTGGGTAAAAGCTGTAGCAGTTAGACTTCGAATACGTTTCCAGCGATCACCTCTGGCTGCAAATACATGGACATCGCGCGAATAATCTGGATCAGGATCTAGTGGATCTTCCTGTAATTCATTTAAAGTCCCTTATAATTCTCGTTCTCTTATAATTCCAGTGCCACTAATATCACTTAAATATATAGTTAGTTTGTCAGATTTTTGACAATAAAATCCATTATCCATTATTGAAGAATTCTTTCGAAAGAATGCTACTGAATTCTCTATTTTTTGTTTTTTTTTATTATCATTCACCATTTCAAATTCTGTGATTCTCTTTGCAACTATGATGGGACGCATTCGCCAGAAAAAGAGACGGATTACCAGCGCTATCCGGATTTCACTTCTGATGGAACGAAAAATTTACTTCTATTTGCTTTTGTCGAGAAAGGAAAAAGGCTAATGATAATGATATCAGTCGAAGTGAAATAGCTACCATTAGGATTAAAATTTTTCTAAAATTTTAATCTTAAATTTATTCATAAATTTTTTTAAAATTTAAAACTGCAAAATTTTTAAATTTTTGAGAAACTAACCATTCGCGAGTGAAATAAATGAAAATTTTTTAGGCATATTTCTTGAATAAGATTTATATCTGAAGTGACAACTATTGGATGGGCACCAATTATCATCGCATAAGTCTTTCCATATTTCATTGTAAATTCACGGATAAACCATGGTGTTTCACCTGATTTGATCAAATTCAGATCCTCGAAAAAAAAGCCTTTAGTGATAACGGGAAAACCACAGTTGATAACCCGATTCCACAACAAAATTCGCCTAAAAAATATTTTAAATTTTTCTTGCAATTCTTTAAGATTTTTTAACATATAACACATTTTCGTTTTAAAATTTAAATAATTCTTGAATAAACTTATTTTTACTTTTCAGCAGCGAACTATGTGAAAAACTATTAGCATCAAATGGAATCGTTCAAGGGAAAAGTGAATGAATTATTTAATATACAAATAAAGTGTTTAGCATTTCTGGTTTGGCTTGCTCCTCTGGCTTAGTACAGCAAGAAATTTTTGTTAACTAGGAAATGAATCACAACCGAAAAAAAGGCGAAAGCAGTATAGATGAGATCGTGAAAAGCACCAGAGTTCTATAATGACAGATTTACTTCCGCCCAAGGCAAAATTCGATCGCTTGCGACGATAATCTTAACGAAAATCGCTCGTCTGCCCCTTCTTTAAAAAAACGGGATTTCATCAAAAACTACTGTAAACGGGGTTCTATCAAATAAAAAATAACCTCAACCCCCCCCCCCACCCCAATCGGCGATTCCTTTTTTGGCAATTAACAATGAAATTTTTTCTCGGATCATTGGAAATTTAAAAAAATGAAATAACCTTCCAATTAAAATAATAAAAGTGATGAAAAGGAGAAGTGTTATAATGGCGATGAGGACGGGCATCGTTACGACTATAAACAATTTTCACTGATAAAACAAAAAATTCCAAATGATTGTCGTCTTTTTTCGCTAGAAAAAAATTAGCAATTCAATTACATGATAAATAAGACGTTTATTCATCGCTGAAAAAATGCCTTACCCAGCAATGAAATTCTAATTATGCCACCAACTGATTAATTAGTAACTCAGATTTACTTCCATGTATACACGGACATTGGTGATGAATGCATGAATGACTGTGAACAGTGAAAACTGGGACGCATAAATGACTCTCAACCTGTAGAGTCAAAGCATTTTGAAAGTCAAAGTTTCAGTAACAACGTGTTTGTATTGTAAATCATCGCTAATTTATAATCACTTGGTGATTTGAAATATTTGTCATGCTTTATTCAAGCAGCATTCGCGATCTCTTATTCGATGAAGGAATGAATAACTGTGATTGCATCAGGATGGCATTCGCTTGCTAGAGAATTGGCCGGAAATGGCACAGTGCATCCTGAACATCACTCGAACCCCACTTTTAATCATTCTTTCCTATTTGCTCCTTAATTTGAGTTAGATATTTGGACGATACTCAGCCCTAGCGAACCAATTTGAATGATATATGTACGCGTTTATATATCGAATAATTGTTTGCAGAAACATACGAACAAAAAATTAGGCAAAAACGAATATCAAAGAAATTTAGAAGGAAATTCTATTTTACACAAATCTAGTTTAACAACCGGTTTCGCTAATTCATTAGAAATAATTGAAAGAAAAAATACGATACTTATGAAGAAGAATGAATACGACAATCAAGTATTCCAATTTAAAGAAATCCTAAACAAATCAACTTAATTAACATTTCTCAAATTTAAGACTAAAATTTAAAAAAAAAATAAGGATTCTGACCGCAGCAGTCCCACTGCAACGATGATCTGAAGGAAAAATGTTTTTTTTCTCAACAGCAGTCTTTGATTTGCATATTCCTAAGCCAAAACTTTTATTATTCCATATATTGAAAAAACTTTCAAATTTGTCTATTTTATTATAATCAGCAATAAATATTTTATTATGAAATACAAACAGCAAACCCGTAATGATGAAAAAGTAAAAAAATGAGAAATATTTTACAAATAGAAAGCAATAATAAATAATAATAAGCTAAAAATAAAATAGATAAATTTTTAGGCCCTTAAATCCACGATAGCAAACAGAAAAACTGCCATGCCAGAGGCACTCAAACCTATCAACTAACAGTTCGATACTTCATCGAACGCATCCTAACATAGAAAAATTATTTCGTATACATTAAATAAATAATACGAAACAAAATTTAAAAAGAAATTTAATTCAATTTAATAGATTAAATAAAATAAATAAAAACTTTATTATCTGAAAGTTGAACCCTGAATCCTTAAAAATTGAAATGCATTCCAGTTCCATCGAAAAATGAATGTTAGGAAATTTTTTCCATATCGGGATTTTGATTATAAATAATTCATTTTTTCATTTAAGTGGAATAAAAAATGCGAATCCACTGTAATACGACAAGAATAGACAAAACAATACCAGCCAGAACTAAGTTTCGATTTAATGCTGATTTTGATTGCAAAATAAGTTTTACCTTGCCATTTTCATCTTCCAGTTCATTGACTTTACGCAGTAATCGTTTATACTGAAATAAAAAAACAAATCAGAAAAGATAAAAAAACTGCTAACTCAATATTCGCGTGATTTTTCAGGCCTCGTTGCAGTAGCAAATTATTTTAAAAAAGTCTTCATAATGGAGTTGTGAGAACTCTTCCAAAAGGATGAACATGATATTTAAACCTGTTAAAAATAAAACAGGCAGTTTATTACTCAAAATGTACAAAACTTTTATACATTCATTACCAGAATAAATAGATTGGAATATAACAAAATTCCTAGTTGTTCCCTAAATTTAATGAATATGAAAAGCCTTCAAGAACATTGTTAGCACTGTTCAAATCCTGAAAAACCTATCAGTTACGATTCTAAACCAAAGCTCTAGTTCCAGCCTAACTCAATACAAGCTTGAAACAAAATATGAATGTCTTTTACCTGCGAAATTTTATGCATACTGGTCATATTAGTTCAGACCCTAATTTTTATAACCTTGGTATGAATATCATACAAAGTGAAATCTGTTATTACAGTCTAATTTATAGAAATAAATTAGAAAGTAAAAACAACTTTGCATTGCTAATTACTGAAACAAATTATAAGATATAATTTACAGTTCTTCCAAACCCATTTTAAAAGAAAACTAAATTATAAGATATCAGTTAATAGCTTTTGAGATTTCAATCTACCAATCAAGGCAAAGAGTCGAAATTGACCTTTGACAATGACGCACGATAGAAAGGGCCGACAAAATGTGTTATATGTCAAATTGGAGCAATTCGTGTTACAGTGCATAAAAAAAACTCGACATAGAGATATGAAGAATTGGATTTATTTTTTTTTAAACTTTCATAATTTCTTAGCCTTTGTTTTTCTGTCGGCTATACTTTATTTTGCTTCTGTTGTTTTTCCTTAACAATAGCAAATAACTAATGTTGAATTTCAATTCGCTGTCAATATTGTGTAAAGTTAAAAAAAACTACGATTCCTGAGGAAGAGTGAGGTCAAGGAACGAAAAAACATTGTAAAAAACGAAAAAATTAAGAAGAAACAAAAGTACAAAAAATTTTTCCAAACCTTTTTTTGCTTTTTAGTGATTAAGGAAATTTTTAATAAATCAATTTCTTTTGTCTAGCCAAAAATTGGAGAGAAATTGAAAAAGATAAATAATTTAATAGAAAATTAAAGAGACTAGAAGAATGCCGAAGATAAAAAAATTTTTAAAAAGTGAATTACAGCTAAATGCAAAGTATCATCCAGAGATTGAGAAGAGGCAAAATCAACTTCAGAAATCGATTCTAGCAGTGAATTCAAAGCATAGTTCTTTGTTAACTGTGTAGTTTCACGAAAAACGGCACGGCATATAGCACATTCGTATGACTAAAAAAATCTCATCAAAAATTATATTAATCGTTTAACTATAATATAAAAATATTGTTACTGATATGGGATCTGATGAAAAAAAAGGAAATATCATTGAACTTTTACTTTTTACGTTATTCACATAATATAATAAATATACAAATATTTCTTTATAATTATTTTATATTTGTTATCTGTGATTGAAATATATTATAAAGCTATTCGACCTATTTAATAACAATAATAACTAATAACTAGTCACGCAATCAAAATTTTCATCGTTTTTTCCTATGAAAAAAGAAAAAACACACTCGGATAAATGTAATCAAATCCACTTGTGTAGATCTTCTAATAACTTCTAGAATACACGACTCACAAAATGAATGGCCACATGGAAGAATTACAGGAGTTTTTGAAAATACTTCGAAACAAATTGGACAATAAAAAGGTGACGAATTTACCAAAACTTTTTCTGAATTTTCGACAACATTCTTATTCTGAAAAATGGAAATTGAATCATAAAATTTCATTTTACAATACATTTTTATCAAACTTGTTAAAAAAATTCAATGAAAAGATACAAATATTATCATCCCTATTTTATTAGATAGATGGAAAAAAGTTGCTAGATAAATATCCTAAAAATTTATATAAAATAATCAACCTTTGACACTGACTTGATGAAAACTTGTCCCATTTTTTTAAAATCAAATAAGAAAAACTAGTTGAAATTTCGCGAAATCGCAATAATCTAAAACAAAAATAAAAATTCATCTTTCAAGAAATTTTATCTTCGGTTATTAAGCTCTCAACAAATTCAACGTTTAATGGTAATTCTACAGTAGATAGATACCTTGTCCATCCAAATATAGTTGCGAAATGATGCGTACTGATGAATCATACAAGTAAATCCAAAATAACTAAAAATTTCAGACAAAATCCACTAACACATGGCAAAAATTTTGGCTCTTCACTGACAACAAATCTCGAAATTTGAACAAATATAACGTGAAGAGATAAAAGATAGACTGTAGATAAATTTCTTAGATCACACTTTGAAATATCGGAGAAGCGAACAAGATATTCAGTGAAAAGGCTATACAAAATCGATTTATTCAGATTCAAACAAATTTCTTCGAGCAATGCAAGAGATAATAAGAATGATAGAGTGACAGAAAATACATATAAAATTTATTAAATATATCTTACCTTTATAAAATTTATTAATATATTCATATATATATATATATATATATATATATAATTAAGAAGTAAAAATATATAAATCTACAGCCAAACATATTTTTTATCAAAAATAGTTTGACATTTAATAACTATTTTTTAATTAAATATCAATCCGAAAGCAAAAAAACTTCTCAACGGCACGATTCATGTAAAGCGTTTTTTGGATATCTCATGTCGAATATAAGTGGAGGCAAGAAATCTTTCATAATTTTTCTGAAATATAGAAATATGCAAAGAAAACAAGAAAAGGAATATATAAGACTATATGAGTAATATTTACAATAAAAAAAGAAAAAATTATTTCGAAAACTTAGGAAATAATTGCCTGTTCTATAAATATTAAATAAATTTAAAAAAATAAGCAAAAAACTCACTTGCAAAACCGGCATTTTACATCGAATACACTCGAAAATTTGGCAAAAAGAGTGAAAATATAAGAAAGCGTATGCGCATTTCGAAAATCCATGCAAGGCATTATTGTCTGCATCAAATGAATATTGGCTTGCACGCTCATTTTGCGATAAACTATGTATCGACTTTCGCGAAGAATATCAATCTGAAAAACAAACTGACAAATGAAACATTTAAAGTGTAGAAAAAATTAGCACTTTACCTATTGAAAATTTCACACAATTATCCAAATGATAAACCTGTCTATGAGAAGCATCCATGTATGACCAATCTTCATGAGGCGCAATAATTTGCACAAATTCAAATACTCCATTGTTCACAACAATTAACATTTTCAAAAGACACACATACTGCTTCTCAACATAATGACCAAATCTAAGCTGAAAAAAGAAACTATACTTTTTTGTAAAAACATTTATTAATTATTAGTCTATTAATTATTAATTATAGTCTAATTAAAAGCAAGTTCAAATACTATTAAAATTCCGAAAATAACACTAGAAAACCTCGATTATTGAAGATAGAGCAGTTTTCTCCAAATAACGTCCAATGAGACCAATTTTTTTCGTGCTCGGATCTTTTAATACAGCTGCTAACGTCTGTTCGAAAATAAATTGTGGTGAACTCGTCGGTGAATAATTTGAAAATGAAATCGGTTTATCAGTCATAATTGAACGACGACGATTGCCAATGAAAGTTCGCAAAAAATCAGCGAACATTTGCAACAGTTGCTAAAAAGTAATGAACTGGATGTAGAATATCAAAAAATTTTCAGAAAGAGTGAATTGAACTTACTATAATTACTGGTTAACAAAGGAAGGGACGGTATTGACCATGAAAGACCCATAAGGAAACAACACCGTCCTGCCAATAATTTGCCTACCTATAATATGAAAAAATCCTCAAGATAGTGCGGATCAAAAACATCAGAACATTAGGAATAACATCAGAAGCTTAAAACACCTGCTACTCATAGAGTGAAGCAGTCTCAAGGTCTCGACAGACCAATATTGAACTGGCAGAAAAGCTTAGATTCAATATACCCATGCATAGGACTATGAATGTCTGACAAAATCAACAGGACCATAAAGACCATCAACAAGAACTCAATGGGACTATGGAAAACGACACCTTAAGAAAACAAAAAACATATTAAATGCGACAAATATCAAGAACAAGTACCAAGCACCAAATCTATCAAAATGGATTTAGTGTTTTGCATACATCTAAACACGATCAACCAGATCACAAGTGTATACAAGAACAAATCCAAGAGCGGAACTACCATCAACCATGGATGAAATTAAGTAGATTATGTTAAATGTGAAACATTGACTCGCTCATTCATCTAACATGAATCTGCAGCGAGGACATTGGAATAGTATTCGAGATGGAAAATTATGGCCGTAAAATAGTAAAAAAAAATAGTTAAGGCTGATAAATTGGACCTGCCAGTATAGTATATACATCAGATACACAGATTAGCCACAAGTATCCTCGTCTTCCAAAGTCAAGTAAAAATCACGATATGGATGGAAGGAAGATAGTAACATCTACATACTACCAAAGAATTGGATAGATTTTGAAAAGTTGGGGAACAATGGGAACAACAAAATTCATACCATAAACATATACGCCTTGCTAGTTATCAGATACGCAATTATAGTGAGATGGCCAAAGGAGCTGATGAAGACCGAAAATTCCTCATAATGAATGGAAATTTCCTCCCAACATCTTCAACTATAAATCATCAGAAATGAAGGCATATGGGATTTAAAGAATGTCAAATCCATTGCCTTGCCTTACACCTAAAGAAAATAAGAATATCAAAAATATTAGCAAAATATCAGCAAAAAATGAGTGAGGTGCTGAGAGGATACCTGAAATATCAACAGAGATTGGAGAAAGAATAGGAAATACCATGGCAAAGCAAGATCTCCCAAGGGATGCACCACAGCTGGAGAGTTGAGATGGTTGGCATTAAGAAATCCTATTTAGTGGCTGGAAAAAACCGGATCAAAATGCAGCACTGAAGCATTGACAATATAAGAGCAGGTACTAAGCACCAAATCCATCGAAGTGGATCTACCACATCAGTCAGAACTCAAGATTGTGTGAAAAAGCCCCAGAAACTATCCAACATAGTGGCAGCATACAAAATACAAACAGTAATACAAGCAATAAACATAAATAAACTATATAAACTATACTATATATATATATATATATAGTATATAAACTAAAAGGTAGAACAAAGTAGCTGGCATTATTAATAGGAATATCTATTCAGCCTACCAAGTTCAAATGGAAAATTCCTCAGAAAATCATGGAGAATAATAAGGCGAAGAATCTGTGGGGACTTCTCTATCCAGACAAGTACTGGCCAAACAACCAGATATAATCAGAAGCCAAAAATCAGCACAGATGATAGATAGAGCAATACCAAGTGACAGGAATGTTAGGAAGAAGGAATACCTAACCTTTTTATAAATGGTAATTTAATCGATAGAGTCTCACACATCTCCGATCTTGGAATAATCATGGATGAAAATCTCGATTTCGATCTTCACTGCAGAACCATAGTAAAGAAATTCTCAAGGATACTAAATTTTATTTTTCGTTCGTTTAAGAACAAAACTGAAAGTTTTCTTATCAAATTATACAAAGCATTCGTTCGGCCTCTTCTTGACTACAATACTATATGTTACTCTCCTAGACATCGCAAAACAGGCAAAATAATCGAAGGACTCCAAAAATATTTTCTAAGACTCCTCTCTCCTAATAAAAATTATAATTTTAATTATAAAAGAACACTTCTACAACATAACATGGATTCTCTCTCAGTTCGTAGAATTAAACATGATTTAATTTACACATATAAAATTCTGGGTTATGTTAAACTAGATTGCTCGAAATATTATAACTTTAGACTAAATTTGAATCCAACAAGAACTAATGGCTTAAAATTACTAAAACCTATATGCAAAACTAAACTAAGGACTCATGACTTCTTTATTCGTACTATTAACTACTGGAACAAATTACCGAACGATGTAGCTTGTGCATCCTCATCCCTAGCTGTCTTTAAAAAAAGACTAGATAATATCATTTACGATATTATTCAAAAACAAAAAAAAAAAGAGAAGAGTTTACACCAGGCAAGAACTGCAGGAAGTGAGAAATCTCGATTTTATTTTCAGGTTATATATGTTACTTCGAATTGTACTATATTATATTGATCTGTAATTTCCTCTTTAAATTGTTAATTTCTGTCATATTGTTTTATAATTAATTTTGTTTATGTTATATATTTTTTTTTTTTTTTGTTTTGTGTTTTCTTTTTGTTATCTTAATTGTTATTATTAATACAAGCACATGGCCTTGTCGCCCTGCTTGGTTGGTTATCAATAAATAAATAAATATGAGAAGTTAGAGAAATATCAGAAGCTGAAAGGAGAACTGGAGAAGATTAAGGATCTGTCCAGAACTGTCCAAAACCAGGGTACGGAGTCCTTAAGTCCCCAGGTCTCTGATATAGGGTGTGAGATCAATGAAAACTCATAAACAGAACCAAAAAAAAATCAACTAACACTATCTGTTTCCATCCATGAAGATGCATCCTGTAATCTATCGTAAAGTTCATTAATATACGGATCGATATGTCCATCACTAATTAACCGATTCAGTCTTTCTAACTGAACGGTTAATGGAGTAGAACTAGGAAGGTTTTTTGCATGATTTTCCAGTGACCTGAATTTCTCTGTTTTACAGATAAATTATCAATCTGGTAAATTTATTTTTGCAGAATTAAAATTTGGAGTGTATGCGACATGCCTTTAATAAAAATAAAAACACGTCGATCTTTTCTTCTAGTGCAATCAAAACAATTCTGCTCCCAATTCTCAAGAAAGGTGATAGGACATATTGCGACAATTATTGAGGAATCATTCTAGTAGACATCTCAGCGAAAATTTTTGCTTCCCTGCTACTCAACAGACTTATGGAAGTACGGGACAGCGGGATGCGCCCTAGTCAAGCTGGTTTCAGAACTGGGCGCGATTGTGCTGACCAGATATTCACGTTAAGAAAGGTGTTGGAACATCATTTCAGATATTTGCAACCCACTGTCATGTGTTTCATCGATTTTGCGGCTGCCTTTAATTCAACTGATAGAACGGCGTTTTGGAGGGTGATGGAACGTGACGGTGTTCCAGAGAAAATCATTAGACTCATAAAGACATTTTATGAGCGCACGTCAGCGCAGATCTGTGAATATGAGGAACTGATAGACTTCTTCGACATAAGAACTGGTGTCCGTCAAGGTTGCGTCTCACAATATTCAACTATGCGATAAACTGGATAATGGACACTGCTTGTCGGCACTCAAGAAGTGTCCGAATTAGTCCAGAGCATCGTATCATAGATCTTGAATACGCTGATGATGCCTTTTTGCTGACAGTTATAACGAAATGCAAGTAATACTAAATAACGTGTCAGAAACTGCAGCAAGAATCGGACTCAGGATCAATGTAAATAAAACGAAAGTCTTTCCGTCTTATGCGCAAGAAGCTGATAAAAAGCCTCTTTTTGTAAATTCATTGCCGGTTGAGGAAATACCTTATTTCAAATACCTTGAGTCCACTCTAATGCCAAGTGGACAGGCAAAAGATATTATAACTCAGATCGCGGCAGCTAGAAATGCGTTCTTCTGCTTGACAAACCTTTATGGAGCCATCGTGAAATTACCATTAAAACGAAAGTCCGAATCTATATAGCCATGAATCGTTCGATCTTGCTATATGGTTCTAAGATATGACCAATGAGAGTGGAGGATATTAAGAACCACTCAACTTTTATACCACTCTTCTAAGGAACATTTTACGGGTCCGTCAAAATATCACATAATCGCACCCATCTTCGTTCAAATACCACTTGCATTGATAATGTTATCCTTCGGTGGTTAGGGAGCGTTCTGTTTCGTACACCATAAGAGTTGTCGCATATTTCGTTACTTGCTAAACCGTATGATGGATGGCGTCAAAAGCGAGGTGGACCAGCAATATATGGACTTCGACGACGGAAAAAGGAATGGCTTCTATTACTGTCGACGATGGCATCAGACCGCGCCACTTGGAAGCGTCTTACCCTTGTAACCGTTGGGGCAGCCTAATCAGCAATGGTGAGAGCTGTTAGAAGAAGAAGAATCATTATTACTCTATGTGTCACTACTTTACGTCCACTACTTTTTCCTCATGCAAATCATATGCAGATGAGCAAGTTGAAGATGACGCTACTTGCTTTGCGCAAGAGAAGGAAGCGTTAATTTTAAAACATTATTGTAATATAATAAACATAGCGCTACTCATATATTTGGTTGATCAGTTCAAATTTCTCTTCAACAGACTTTCTCTTGAGATTGGATGCATCGAGCTCACCGAGTGAATTACCCGATATTTTGCGATTTGCTTTGACCACTTCATTCCTTAGCAAGCGTATAGCATTTAAACCTAAAAATTAACGGCCACTCACATAAAACTGATGAAGAAAAAAATTCCCTAATGACTGCGGCCAATTTAGCAAATAAATAAAATAAGAACTCATGAAATGAAAAAAATATCTGATATGATTGAAATGGGAAATAATTATCGCAAATTATCACAAACTATGGCTAAAAATATCAAAGAAGATTAGCACTTAATAACATAAAAGCAAATAAACGGAGATATTGTCAATAACTAAATGGAAATGAACTTTCCGGTTAAACTTGTCAATAACTTAATTTGCTGGTGCGAAAACGGAAAAAGGAACGTGAAGGAGGTCCCAAGTGTCGAAGAGGAGGAACGAAAGGATCGAAGTTAAGGAAGGCGATTCATGGTGAGTGCAAGCGGAAGGCAGCGAAACAAAATATTTTCAGAATTAATTAAAGTAGCTAAATTTGAACAGAAAAAAAAAAACACACAATGTTCACTCGAATTCGACAATGAATGAAACTGTTGAGCTATTTGTTGAGGCTGCGACATTCGAATCGACATGGAGCAGCAACAATTTTTCCAAACTTCACGACTCGGCCGATAAATAAAGTTCAACTGCATAATAAAAAGCAGCTTTCAGGTGCTGAACTGAGGCAGAGCTGTTATCAGCTGGTAAAATTTGCGCGAAGTTTGCAGGAAGACATGATCATCGTGCGGCTAGAAATTTTCTCATGGGGTCATTTGGTGACAGAAATACGAGTGGGCACCACTTCCGCCCACATTTCAAAATTTTATCGTGTCTGAGACCAGTGAATCCTTGGCCTCCAACTAAAGCACTAATCTAAACCACTTTCCATTCCATTATCCAATTTCTGTTCCATTCTATTATAAATAAAAGCCATTCACTTTTGTTGAGAAAATCGGCTGTTGCGAAGCGATTCTTCTTTTTTGCATTAGGCATCTTTGTATATTAATTTTTATTAATTTTATTTGCATATTAATTTATTTAAAATTGCCCGCAAGAGCTGAGGCGAATGTCCTTGGAAGCGGTCGAGAACCGCGTATTCCACTCTGAAGTTAGAGGTAAAGTCCGAGGGAAAACTTATAAGGCAGCGTTTTCTTCGCAGTCGTATTGTATGATTTGTTTTTCTAAGTCATCACATAAGGAGTGGGCTTCTTTTAGTGATCGTTCAGCATTCATCGAATTTCTTTGAGGATTTGACCTGAGAATATTGCTGAATCCGTCGAGAAGCTCTTTCATATGCTACGATAATTTGGTGTCGAAGCTAGCAAACACTCCTCCATTCAGCTGCACTGAAAACTTCCGCACTTAATAAATATTTTCTGGATGTCACCTTTCTTTCAGTTGTAATTATTTTAAACAAAAATTTCGGCCTTATTTGCCTTTTGACGGCGCCCATCATAGGGTTTAGCAAATAACGAAATATATGTCAACCCTTATGGTGCGCGACAAAGAACGTGTCCTAGCCAGTGTGTGATGATATTGTTAATGCAAGTTGAACGAAGGTGGGTGCGATCATGTGAGATTTTATCCACTCGGCGAACCTGTAAAATGTACCTCAGACACAAGTGGTCAAAGGCAGAGATAAATTCTTAATACCCTCCGCTCTCATTGGCCATGTCTCGCAGCTATATAGATGCTGACTTTTGTTTTATGGTGATTTTTCGACGGTTCCATAAACTTTTCGTCAACCGGAAGAACGCTGCTGTAATCAGGGTGTAACATCGTTTTTTGCCTGGCCATTCAAGTGTATTAGAATCCAAAGTGTTGAATTCGAATGAATTTAGAAAAAGAAGCATTTTATCAGCTTCTTCTTATATATAAGACGAAAAAGTTTTCGTTTTATTTACATTGACCCTTAGTTTTTCTCAGTTATTCGTATTCAGATAATTTTAATAATTCATAATAATAAAATTATTACTTTAAGAATACTAAAAAATTTGAAGAATCAAAGGGAGAAATTGGATAAATTGGATTCTCGTTCCATTCGAAAAATATTCTCAAATGGAATGATAATGAAGTGGATATAGTCAAAGGACAATATTATGTTTGTTCTTTTAATTCGCCAAAATTTCGATGTATTTTTTCAATTTTATTGCGTAAAAATTTCTCATTCACGCGAAAAGTTAAGCGAAATCATTTTTCGTTAATATTTATCAATAAGTCGGAACCGCTATTACTTTATTTAATGGTATTTATATTTAAATTTTCATTCATTTCTGTTTTTGCCCCGATTTTCGATTTTTCAGGAAGTGGTGGAAAAAAAATTTTCTATCAGAATTACAAAAATAAATATCAGCAGCTTAATTGATCGATTACAAGAAAAGAAGCAATGCGTGAAAACAGTTGTATAAACGAAGAATTATCCTATTAGTTACTATTTACATTGCGAAGACTGCAAATTTTAGAAGAAATAAATTGAAATTCTATATACTGATATAGTGCTGAATGAAAGGCTGATTTTGGTTTGGCAATGAGGATGGTAATATTCAGTTATGGATCCTTGAGATATTTCTCTCACAAGTTAGTAATGGTTACAGCTAATGATAAGCGAATGATTACCGAGGTTCATGGCATCAGCTCGTAATCAGCTCGTAAAAAGAGGAAATGAGCAATAATTTAAATATAGAATAGAATTTATTTTTGGCATGAGGATAGAACATTGTTTCATTTTCCCTATTTTCTATCTTCTCTTGGCAGTTTATTCATCAACTGAGATGAAAATTTATTTCATTTTAATTCTAGTAGCAATTTCATTTATATTTATAGTAATTTTTGTTTTGAATTTCATTTAGGTGGTTCGCGATTTGAGGCTCCATAAAAGTTTCATCAACCAGAAGAACACATTTCTAACTGCTGTGATCCGGGTTGTAATATCATCTTTTGCCTGGCCATTAATTACCAATAATCACCTATTATTAAAAAATATGTGAGGCTTATTGCGATTCATCTATCTCTGGCAATGATAAATTAAGGAAAATCGATTCAGTATTTTGTACGTTTCAAGATCGCATCTCCCAACAACAATTTTAATTATGATTATTTTTCATTTCCACCATTAATTCGCGGAATAGCCTGCCGAACGACATAATCTGTATGCCATCCTTAGCTGTTTTCAAAAAAAGATTGCATGGTGTTATAAAGTCTTCATATCAAACAGGAAAATCAAAATTTTGGTTTCAGCATGCGATTTCGTCACCAGACTCACCCACATTGTAATTTATGTAATGATTATTATTTAGCTATGTTGAACCGCTCTTCGGCAATTTCAACCTTTTCCTTTCCTTTTCTGATCGTTATTGCTGATTTCCAACTCTCACTACAGCTACAGTCAGACACGATGATTGTTGAGGCGATGCTGCAGCGGAGCCAGCCTAACCAATAGCGGTGAGAAAGGGTAGAGTAAGAAGAGGCTGCCAAACAGGAAAATGCAGACTAAAGAAGAAGTTGCTCATTTTCAATTCTTCATTCGGTCTTTTTTTTACGATCTCGTGTCTAACATCTGATTTCTTTTTGCTAATATGTCGTTGTTTTCAATTTGCAGTTCCTTTCCTTTTCTGCAGAAATGAAGAGTATTCAAAATGAAAGTTATCTTTTCGGTCATATGGGCAGCGCAGGCGAAACAGTCTCTTTGTCGTCTATTAAGCCATTCTCCTCTAAGCAGTGATTCGCAGTTCTACTCTTCCATCTCATTTCGCTTTATCCGTCCCGCATGCTCCATGGTCCTTCATTTGAGCGTATTGCTTCTTAGCCAGTAACAACCACCATGCACCGAGTCGAAATTGCTGAAAAATGCTTTCGGCTGGATTTTCGTTGTAATTGCATTATTAAAATTTCTTCAGATGTCTTCGACAAAATCGTCAACAGCAAATCTTAATTTACGCCGTCGTCAGATATCAAATTTTTTACCACAAAACTATGGAAAAAGTGAACAATCCGAGGTTACTGAAGGCGAAGTATAATTTGTTCCTCTTTAAAGAAAGTTTTGTGTATCAAAAATGCTTTTTTTTAAACTTTAAAAAGGCTGTTTGAACTTTTTAATTATTTTGCATTTTACATTTACATTTACATTTACATTTTTACATTTTTACATTTTTTCTGTTATTTTGAAAAAATTCCTATTATAGCTCGCGAAAAGCGAAGCCAGTTTGCTCTCCGAAATCATTCAATATGTGCTTTATAAGCAGGTAATCGTATTAATATTTTTCTTTTTTGTAAATCACTTCTATTATTTAAAGCATACCTTTCTAATTTGCGATAATATTAATAGCAAATCTTGATGCCCTCCACATTTTTCTTTTACTCGGTTTTAAGCAAGGTCTGAGTTGATATGAATCGAGGGTCGAATCAAAGTTGGTTATTTATAATCAAAGCCGGATTATAAATAATATTTTTTCGAATAATGCCAAATCCCTATATAGCCAAATCAAATAGATGTAGCCTTGCTGTATTTTCTCCGTCATTTTTCCATTACAGGGCGTATTATATTAAAAATGAATCTTAGATATTTTTTAAGTGATTTTATGATTTAAATAGGTGAAGTTTTTATTCCTTTCCAGGAAACCAAAGGAATTATCAAGGATAGTGATTTGCGTGGTATTTTTCCAAAAACTACTTCAAAGGATACGAGACAACGAATTATGGAGCAACTAATTGAACGACTGGATTCAATTTTTGGGATAAAAGTATTAGTTTTCCTTATAATTTAAACTTTTCCTTTCCTTTCCTTATAATTTAAACTTAGATTTCATTTATTACAAAAACTCCACCACCATTCTTAGTCACTTCGTCAGTTATTGTTATCGTTCAGCAATATATATTTCGTGAAATGGCCGTTTAATTATTTTAATTTGCTTTTTTATTTCAATTTTGAAATAACTGGACTATTTGTTTTTCCTAGTGACGAAAACAAATTTATTTCATTTTTATTGCAGCTAGTTTCGATATCGAATGAACAAATTAATTATTGGATTGCAAAAAATAATCTTTCAATTGATGTTGGAACTTTTTTCAGTGGAAATTCGTTTTACTCTATCGAAGTATTCATTTTTCTTCATAATTTTAAACCCACTTTTATTTTAATTGGGGTTTTTTCCAATGGTAGTTTCTTTTTTTTAGCTTTTAATTAATTTAACTGAGTTTTAGGAAGAGGCTAAATATGGTATTCTTATATCAGCACTGATGTTTCTTTTCATGGCCAAAAATCCAAAGCTAGTTAATTCAACTGTGACAGAAAATGCGCTGCTGAGTTTTTTGGTCCGTCGCATATATTTCTATATAATTTTTCATGTTTCTATAGAATAATGTTAGTGTATCTTAAATACGTATCAGTCCAGAAAAAAATTCATTTGATTCCTACAAAACTGAAGCCATATTTCTTCAAAATTCTTTTCAGTCTCTGTTAGCATTTCTTGCCTAGTCCCTACTGTTCTTCTCTATAACATCCTTCACCCTCGAAGTGTCTCTTCATTTATCCAGTTAGCGATATCCTTTTACTAACCATCATTGAAAACTACCTTCTTCATCCGGAACCTGTATCAATAGTATGAATCTTTTTGAACCTTTCTGTCTTAATCTTTTGGATACCATTGAAATCTAAATTTTTCCAAGTTTTTTTCAACTTTTTTTGATCTAAAATGCCCAAAATATCCTTGATTCTATTTTTAACCCAATCGCGATTAGGCCGCACCATATTAAATTCCTTTCCTTTATGCTAACTCTACTTGTTCTTTTTAATATCAATTGGTACTGAACCAACCATTGGTACTGATAACGAAATCCTATTTCTCTAATATTCTTAAAAGACCCATCATAATGCCTTCAAAATCTTGTTTCGTCCTGTGAAGACCATTTCATTTCTCTCTTAGATCTGTCGCTCCGTAAAAAGTCTTCCCAAGCTCCATCAAGTATCTTTTTAAGATAACGATACTGGATTCTCTTCCATCTCCAGTGCATCTTCTCTTCATCGTAATCCATTCGTAGTATCCTTTAGATCCTATGGAACCTTTTCAGACATACTTTAGTTCACTTGAATATAATCCGCTATTCCAAGTTGCAAATTTATAAAAATTGGAATCAACTATGGGAATGAGAATGTTGGATTAAAAGGAAAGTCATATTAGAAAATACAGATGAATTCCGAGGATATATTAAGGATTATACAAATTCTACCCATTCGGAGATGGGTTTTTCAGTTCTATATGTATATATATATATATATATATTATATGTATATATATATATATATATGTATATATTCTTTACTTCTTTAATATTCTTATTTTTTATTTTTTATTCTTATTTTATTTTTATCTTTCGAAGAATTTGCTTTTAATAATTTTTAATATGTAAATATTTGGAATCTGTCGAATATATGTCAAATCTTCCTGGCGGAAAAAAAATTGAGAGATCTATGCAAACTTCTTATTTTCAAGCCACATCCAATTATTTTACTGCACATCATTCCATTTCAGCATAAAATGGGTTTTGATGGTAATGATATTTCTAAAAAAAATATCATCGATATTGCTAAATTAATTTCTCCAAAGCCGTCTGCTGAGTTTGTTTCTAAAGGTTTGTTAAGTAACTCGCTGGTTTTAATTGTTTACCTGGTAAGTAATTCGAATTCATTTGGGTTAAATCCATTCCAAAATTTGTATTGAGAACTTTTAGGCTGGATATCATATGAAAAATTGGTCGATAAAAACGGAGTGGAAACTGTGATTTATAAATGGGGACCTCGTGCTCATGCAGTTATCAATCCTTTGGTAATTTTTTATTATATGGGAAAGTGAGCAGAAAAAGATAAAAGGATATTTTTATTCATTTTTATTTTATTGTTGAATCAACATGTCAAATGAATCAACACCGTTATGAAATAAGGCATTTTATTTGAGTCTCATATGATATCTTTTACATTATCCAGGTTTCGGTGAAAATCACCTCGAAATACAATATTTAAAATTTCACTAAATGGGTTTATTATAATAATGAATTATGTTCGATAAACCATAATTTAGCAGAAGACCAAAGTCGACCAATAGGTCTGAATTTTTCAGGAAATTCTTAAACTTTTTTGTAAAATTGATAAGAGTGAATTGGAATCGTGGAAAAATCATTACGATTTAGCAATGGAATGGCGGAATAGAAGAAATGAATCAAATTTGTTAAGAAATTCTTATTTATTCTAAAAATGGCTTCAAGAATTGTTCTTAAACTGTTTTTACTGATCCCGTTCCTCGTGTACATCTGAAATATATATTTTTTAGAAAATTTGTAATTTGTAATTTCCTACTTTTATTATTTTTTATTAATTAAGATTCTGTAAAAAGCCGTTTTCTCGTTTGAAGTACATTATTTTTTTTTTACTTTTCCTTTTTTCTTTATTGTTTATTATATGAAGCACCAATTTTTAAGATGAATTCTAAGGTATTAAAAGCAATGAGACAAATAATATTATTTTTTAATAATAATCCAAACTATTTAAAAGTATAAAATATTGCATCATTAAAGTATAAAATATTCATAGGCAATAGAAATTTATTTTTTAAAATATTGCTTTCGTTATTTTACATTAGTGCTTTAATATGAATTTTGCATGATTTCTCAAATCATCTTTAATTATTTTCGAGACACGAAATCTCTAAGTAGGTCTATATGTTAAAATTTTTAAAGTTATATTTTGAAGAATTTGCACGGAATATTTTAGTACTAAAAAAGTGTCTTCGATTATCCGTGAACTGCAAAATTTTTTTATTTTATTTACTGACTTCATCTTTGTTGCTTGCATCATTATAAATTTCTTGTTATTGCTTAAAAATTAATTGTTCTTGTTATAATCGTTCTAACTTTTCGTCATCTTATCACATTTCATCCTTATTTACGATTATGAAAATATGAATGGTGTAAGTGTTTTGGTATAAACTCCTGAGAATTAGAAAATTTCATAGTATTATGTTTGTCTTTCAACGATGAAATGTTAAAATATTTTATTATTGTAACCATTAATAAACTCGCCTAGATCAACTGGATAAGACATATTATTGAGCTCATCAATTAACTGCAGTATTCTCCTTTCCTGCAAAATAGAATGGATAAAAAGGAATTTGAAAAACAATGTTTTTCTTTATTGCATAGAAAAATGATAAGTAAACCTGAATTATGGGTTCGCATATAAGTTCGACGTGTGGGGAACTTTTTCGCTTCAGATTGTCAGGATTAGCAGCATCTTCGCGAATTCTGATTAGCCATCTGTTTGCTTGCTCAATTATATGATGTCGCTTCAGCCAAAAATGGCGTTGAATAACGTTCTGCATGATAAATGTTAAAGGAATGTTATAAATTTTGTCCAATTTTTATGGTAAATTTATTTGTTATTAAACAGAATATGCCAGTAATTTGTGAGATAACACTGATATATGCCTGGGAAGGGGTCTTCCTTTCCTTCCCGTAAATCCTAGAGGAGTGTTTGCGATTACCCATTATTCATCAACAGAGAACGGCATTTATATGATGACTGCATGTATTGAACAAATTTCTTGAATTTGGCCTAACCCGAAAGTATTCTGGTCCATTTCTCAATTGATTTCGAATTGCATAAACGAGAGTAGCATGCTCGACTTGGAGATTATATTTCTGTGAGCATTCATCACCTTTCGTAGTTCCTTGATATTTCTCAAAACCAGGTTCGTTAAAATATGGGTCCCTTACAAATATAAGACCCTGGAAATTACTAATTATCATTGTCGAGCATTTGCTTTTTTATTGATAATAGAAATAAACATTTAATAATTTAATTTAGAATAATTTAATTTAATTGATAGTTTAGAAATTAGATTTTAATAGATGAATTTTATGTTAATTAATTACAAATTAATATAATGCTTCACTTGGATGCTAATAAGTATTTGAAGCAGCGAACAATAAGGATTCCATTTTTCCTCAGGTCGACCTTCCCATGTTCCTAGAATTGAGAGGCAAATTTTTCCGTCGTTATAAAGATTAGGATTGAAGCGAACCGCTCCCGATCCCGTTGTCAAAAACATACACCTAGGTGGTGAATATGGATAACTGAAAAATTTGATAAGTAATTCTTTTAAAATCTGTAATAATTTGCTGATAAAAAAGAAACTAAAAATTTGCTTATTTCATTTATAACATTAGTTAAACAACAAGCAACAAATTTTTAAGTGAAAACAGTTGGAAACAGTTTACACTACTTGCCTTGGCGGGAAGAAGACGTCAAACTCAAATAGGCCATTCTGATAAGGTGTATCGTCCGGTCCAGAGATGAGTGCTTTTACAATGTCACAGCGACTTTCATCAACACAAATAAATATACTATTACTAGCATTCAGCGGCAAAGTATTGGCCATTGATGCTAATTCCTTAGCTGTAAACAAAAAAACAAAATATTTATGAGAAATCTCTGAGTCAGCGGTACTCAAATAGTGGGAAACACCTTGTTGGAGGTGTTTACTCCGATTATAAAGCGAGAAAGAAGCAAAAAAATTTAAAAAATTGTTCTAGGTGACGCTTTCTCCATTTTAACATATTACAGACTGTCGATATGATTGATTCTAGAGATTTTGCCGTCGATGATCGCAATTATTGTCTCAATCTCAGTCTCAGTTTTAGCTTCAAAAAATAAAAAACAAAAAAACTAGTTACGGATAAAATTTATAGGAAATATGCGACTAACCTATTCGTTTGGTTCGGTCTTTCGATGCGGGCGAAAATGGATTAACGCAACGAACCTCTTTTTTAAAAGTAAACTGCTCAACTAATTTACCGTATTCACCAATGAATCTGAAATAATCTTTTGAAAATTCTTCTATTCATAGGTATTTAAAAAATTTAATAGATTGACAAAATTGACAACTTGCAAGAAACAACATGCCCCAAGATCTTTCAACTATCTCAAACTAAAAAATTCGGAGACGCATTTCAAACCGAATTATTGAAGCTTTAAGAATTATTGAAGTTTGGTATAAATATCAATTTCTGGAACGGCAAAATAAATATTGGTTGAAAGTGAAGAAATGTCTCTGAAAGTCAGCGGCTTCCATGCTAGAACATACTAGTAAGAAGAGCGCTAGTTGGGTGTCGGAAGCAATTGCCTAACTATCTAAAAAAACTACCAAAGCACGAATGCCAATAGATCCTAACTACCGGGTACTTCGAAGAATTACGACAGCAGCATGGCGGGACAGAAATCACTATTAGAGTGACATGGCCTTGAAAATGGAGAAACCTGCTCGATTAGACGGTGCTAGGAAACTATTCTGCTTTCTTCACTACAACTAGGGGAACGATCAGTGAAATGGTAAGGGATAGCAATAGCGTGTCAAGGAACGTATCGTAAGATGAAAGGAATCCTTTGAGGCTAAACTTAACCATGATGCGTTGACCTGGACATAGCTGATACGTTCGTTTAACCACAAGTTTGCAATTACGAACCGCCAACAGAAAAAAAAAATCTTCGTCATCCATAAGTTTAAGGCCAATAAAACTCCGGGTGAAGATGGTCTTCGCGCTGAACCCTTCAAATGTTGTCCATCTTTTTTCATAAGCACCTTCAACGAATATACTTTCTGGTATGAAAGAAAAAAATATTACCAGATAACTGATGGAATGCGAAATAAAGGAATCAGCCTCTCAGCGAAAATTTTTGCTTCCTTTTTACTTTCACTTATGGCGGAATAGCACCTAATCAAACTGGATTCAAACCGAGGCGTGGTTATGCTGACAAGATATTCACGTTAAGATAGATGTTAAAATATCGTTTCAGATATTCAAAACCCACTGTCAGGTATTTCTCGACTTTGCGACTGCCTTTGATTCAATTGATAGAAAGGAGGATGATGGAATGCGATGGTGTTCCAGAAAAGATCATTCGACTCATAAAGGCATTTTATGAGCGTACGTCGGCGCATCTGTCTGTATATGGGGAACTGACTCCTTCGAAATAAGAAATGGTGTCCATCAAGGGTGAGTCCTTTCCTCTACAATATTCAACTATGCAATAGACTGGGTAATGGATATCACTTGTCGGCACTCAAGAAATGTACAAGTCATTTCAGATGATCATATCACAGATCTTGAATAATGTAGTTGATGATGTAGTCTTTTTTGGTGACAGTTATAATATAATAGAATGCAAATAATGTTAATAATGTTAAACAATATGTCAATAACTGCAACGAGATTCAAAATCAATGTACATAAAACGAAAGTGTTTTCGTCATATATACAATATGCTGATAAAATACCTATTTTCATCAATTCATTGCAGATTGGGGAAGTATATGGCTTTAAAAACTTTGGATCCACTCTAATCCCAAATGGCCAGGCAAAGGATGACATTATAACCCGATCAACGACAGCTAAGCATGTGTTTTCTTGTTGCTGAAATTTTTATGGAAGCGTCGAGAAATCACCATAAATACAAAAATCCGCGTCTATATAGCTGCAGTTTGCTCGATTTTGCTATATGGCTGAGAAATGGCCAGTGAGATTAGAAGATATTCAAGCTTTTAGCGCTCGACAAATGTCTTGTTCATGTTTAAGGCCCATCAAGTGGATAAAATTGCACACGATTATATCCATCTTCGCTCAAATACCACCTATATTAATAATGTTATCACAGAGCGTCTTCTTCGCTGGTATATCCACCACAAGAGTTGACGCATATTTCGCTATTTGTCGAACCCTATGATGGTTGGCATCAAAAGCGAGGAGGGCCAATGAAAACCTGGATTGATAGTCAGGAAAGATTTTGAATACATAGGAGGACCATAGGATATATGGATTTAGACGGTGGAAAAAGGAATAATTTTTATATCTGCTAGCGATGTCGGATTGGCAGCTTGGAGACGTCTTACCCTCGTAGCCAGCGGAGCCAGCCTAACCAGTAATGGTGAAAGCTATTAGAAGAAGAAATCAAAAAGAAAAAAAAAACTAACTTATAAGTTTGTATTTGAAATTCTTTTAAAGCCTTTACATACGACAACTTAAGATTTTCCGCATTATGCCCGGTAAATGTTGTTGCTGCATTATGAGTTATTAACTGCGGTTGTAAGCCTGCAGTGTGTACTCGTTGTTCAGCGGGAAGATCATGCTCATAGGTACGAGCAGCGTTTATGAGAACCTAAACGTCAAAAAAAAGCTAATGAACTAAAAATATCCACTACCAAACCAATAATTATTTTACTAATAATTAATAATTTATTTAATAAATTATATTTGTATTTATTTTAGGTTTTTAATCATACTTCTGAATAGTGTTCAATCTTCGATATAAAATCAATTAGTCTAAAATCAGGTGATCCCATCTGATTCTTAAATATGTTTGGATATGACGCCATCGCTGAGGAAAAACGTAAGATGAGATCTTTTGCTATTGATCTTGACCCAGGATGTTGAGGCCGCACTAGATAGGGCACAAGACTAGGAATAACTGACATAGCTGCAGCAGTTTCCAAAAGTGCCTGAAATTTATCAAATCATTTCTTTTTACCACATTTTAGGAAAGAAAGAATTCACATTCACATCTGCATTTTAAATAGATTTTCCATTTTCCATATGCCCTTCCAATCAAAATTTGCCAAATTGGCTTATGACTTGACTTCATGCCTGCGCATATTTGTAAAAATATTTAAGCTATTATTTTCGAATTTTTGGAGCTTTTCTTTCAAATTTTACGCCCGACTTAACTTCTCGATAAATTTGATGAATTGCGCATTTCAATTTGATGCGAAGTTTATGCTATGAGTAATTTTTGAGGCCAAATTACGTTATGCCTTATGCCTAATGCTGAAAATTTGTTTGCTACCTGATATAGTTCCATATGTTCACTGATGTCAAATATACTGCCATTGTTTAAATGGTACTCTAGAAGGGGAACAATGGCTGATTCACCAATTTCTTTAATAACACTTGGTCCGATATGCACCGGATTTTGTCGTATGAAGCGAAGTTGTTCTTCATTGGAAAAATCAGGTGAAATGCAATAGATGTACGCCGTTACTGCATTTAAAAGCCATATTAAATGCTCCTCTCGAGCCAACTTTTCCTCAACCTTTAAATTTAATTTGATTTTATGTTTTTTTGAGTCGATAACAGAACATTTCTCTGGCAGTTTTGAAATATTATTGGAATTTTTTTAAAAATTTATTTTTTCAAAAAAATTTTTAAAATATTATATCTTCATTAAAAACGGAATGGTGTAGTGTTCCTTCGACTAAGATCGAGCCATCACAGATCCGATTTTCATCTCCTAACGAGGCAAACCGACCTATTATTAAAAATAAAAACCTACGTGAAATTTCTCTAACAGCTCTTACTGGCTCTAACGGCTACAAGGGTAAGACGGCGCGATCTGATGCTATCGTCGACAGTAATAAAACCCATTCCTTTTTCCATCGTCTAAGTCCATATATTGCTGGTCCACCTATACGTTCAAAATCTTTTTTGAACGTATCAGTCCAGCCTCGCTTTTGACGCCATCACACGGTTTAGCAAGAAATATGCGACAACTCTTGTGGTGGACGATGGAGAATGTGCCCCTAACCACCGAAAGCGACACTGTGATAATATTTACAGGTGGTGTTTGAACGAAGGTGGATGCGATCATATGATATTTTATTTGCTCTACGGTCCGTAAAATATACTTTAGACAAGAGAGGTCAAAGGTAAATAGCTTCTTATCCTCCACTCTCATTGGCCATGTTTCAGAACCATATAGCAAGATCGAACGAATCACGGTTGTATAGATTTTCGTTTTTATGGTAATTTAACGACGGTTCCATGAAGGTTTCGTCAACCAGAAGAAAGAATTCCTAGCTGACGTGATCCAGGTTATAATATCGTCTTTTGCCTAGCCATTTGGTATTAGAGTGGACCCAAGATATTTAAAATCGTCCACTTCCTCAACCAGCAATGAATTTACAAAAAGAGGCATTTAATCAACTTCTTGTGTATAAGAGGAAAAAGTACTTTCGTTTTATTTATATTGACCTCGGGTCCAATTCTCGCTGTGGTTGCTGACACGTTATTTAGCATTATTTACATTTCGTCACAACTGTCAGCAAAAAGGACTACATCATCAGCGTATTCAAGATACGATGCTCTGGACTGATTTGGACAACTCTTGAGTGCCGACGGTGTCCATTACCCAGTCTGTCACATAGTTGAATATTATAAGGGAAAGGACGCAATCTTGACGGAGACCAGTTCTTATCTGTCAGTTCCCCATATACACAGACCTGCGCCGACGCACACTCATAAAATGCCTTTATGAGTCGAATGATCTTCTCTGGAACACCGTCGCATTCCATCATCCTCGAAAGTGCCTTTCAATTGAATCAAAGGCAGCCGCAAAGTCGATGAAATACGTGACAGTGGGTTGCAAATATCTGAAGTGATGTTCCAACCCCCTTCTGGTTCTGGGCAGCACAACTGCGCCCCGGTTTGAATCCAGCTTGATTAGGGCGCATCCTACTATCTATAATGAATCAGCAAGAAGAGTCTTGTTCTAATGAACTCAACTAAAATAAAAAAGAGTTAAAAGTATTGCTGCAGACTATTACTGGTGATTTTTTTTATCTTATTTCTATGCTAAAATTTTAATTAAATTGAGTAAATTTATGAATTACAGTTCTCTCGATATCCCAACGACTTCTCGTTGATCCATGACCATAACCCACCCCTTTAGTTCTAAGAGTGTTTGATGATTTTCGTAGCATTTTTCTTCCTTTTTCTTCCATTTCTGACACTATTCTGCAATTTTCCAATGGAGCTTTAAGGTAAAAATACTGTTACTATCAAGCAATTATAATTTTCTCGTTCTTTTTCTATAAAATTTGTCTCAAATCAACTCAAGAAAATTTTTGGCGATTGAAAAAGAGAACAAATATGAACTTTAAAAATTAGAAGATTAGAAGATTAGAAAATTAGAAATTATTAAGATTTCAATTAATTCGATTGAAAATCTTTTTGGTAAATTATCAGAAAATACTGCAATCATTGTTTAAATATCGTTCATTATTTACTGGCAATTCGATTATTTGGAAATTAGAAATCGAAAGCAATATACTTTTTCTTTCGTTATATAAAATTTCATAGATGGAAATATAACTTAGATAAATTAGACTAAAATCTCACTTTTTACCATTGTCAATGCTTCCGAATTCTGCAATCATTTTGCATATACGATGCACCACACCAGCTCTATATAGGCACAATTTTTCTTCAGGCGTACAATCATTAATTATTCTTAAAAAACATAAATAAACGAATTAATTACTAACAAATTAAAGAAACAATTTTGGCTTCTTCGTCATATATTAAGTCGCTTAAGCCGAATATCTTCGGGTGAATCAGAGGCACAACAGGTGAGTGGTTATCACTTCGATTATCGAGCATATTGATTCTGCTTACTCCTTCTCTTTCTTCTAACAGCTTTCACCACTACTGGTTAGGCTGGTTCAGTTGGCTACAAGTATAAGATGTCTCCAAGCTGCCAGTCCGACATCATCGTTAGTAGCTAAAGAAGTTATTCTCTTTTCCATCGTCTAAGTCCAAATATCGCTGGTCCTCCTATATTTTTTTCAAACTCTTCAAAAAAACTCTATCCAAATCTTTTCTGACTGTATCAGTCCATGTATTGATTGGCCCTCCTCGCTTTTGACGCCATTTATCACAGGGTTCGGCAAGTAGCGAAATATGTGTCAACTCCTGTGGCGGATGACCGAGAACGTACCATCAAAGGAGACGCTCTGACAACATTATTAATACTGGTGGTATTTGAACGAAGATGGATATAATTATATGCAATTTTATCCACTTGACGGATCCGGAAAGCATAGTGTCTTAGACATGATTGCTCGAAGGCTGGTAGCTTCCTAATATCTTCCACTCTCACTGGCCATATTTCGCATATAGCAAGATTGAGGAAAATGCAGTTATATGGACGCGGATTTTCGTATTTATGACAATGGTTTCGATTTCTCATTGGTTTCATAAAAATTTCATCAACCGGAAAAACACATTCCTAGCTATCATTGTCCGGGTTACAATTTTATCCTTTTCCTGGCCATTTGGGATTAGAGTAGATCCAAGATTTTTAAAGTTAAGTACTTCCTCAATCTGCAGTGAATTGATGGAAATAGGTATTTTATCAGTATATTGTATATATGACGAAAACATTTTCGTTTTATTACGTTGATTTTGAGTCTCGCTGCAGCTGTTGACACATTTTTTAATATTATTTGCACTTTTTTTGTCTTTAGTTGGGACCAGTATTCATCCGTCGTTTCAGAGAAGTCATTGACATTCATTTCACTGAAGTGTTTCAATAATACTGTTTGAAAAGCGCTTATTGCTCCCGGATGTTTTAATTTGAGATAGTCGAAAGATTCCGGGATACGTTGTTTCTTATAACTTGCCACCTTTATATGAATTTTGGCTTGAACCATAACATAATCTGATCCATAGCGGTTACCAGTTTCAGCGCCCCGATAAGAACTATTATCAAGTACAGAACTTTCCCAGCTGTGAGTGACTAATATATAGTCAATCTGATTTGAATATTGTTTGTCCGGAGAGTTCCATGTGAATAGATTTTTCTCCGATGCCGAAGTATGCATTAGTAACAAAGAGTTTATGTTCGGCAATTCGGAAAAATGAAGAAGGCATTCTCCATTGGTGCATCGGAGAACCACTGGGGCACTGGACCCCGATGCCATATTTGCCAATTACCGAATTTATCGTAATGATATCAAGACCTATGCGCATATTCCAGTTTCGCCCGATTATGACCATGTCATCTCTCGGTAAAGATGATGTTAATAGTTGAAGCTCCGCGTAGAAATTGCCCTTATCGCAGTCATAAAATCCATGTGTTGCTGACCCACTTGCACTTCTATTCTCAATTGACTCTATGGAAAAAAATTACCTCATCATATTAAATTCGACGCGTATTGTGAGTTTGATTAGAAATAGAGCTAACCACTTATTTATCTATAATTTATTGGCTAAACTTCACGAGCCGCATATTAAAAATAATAACTGCAAAAAATTCTTCTATTATTTTATTGAATTTTATTTAAAAAGAAAAAAACAATAAATTAATTGTTGAGGATTTTGTCACGAATTATTCATAGAGCTATAATTTTTGCCAATTTTTTCTTCTAATTTTTACAATAAATTTTTCATCAGTTGGAATTTATCCGTTTGAACTCGTTATTACGATCCCATAATCTGCATGGCCTTAACCCATTAATTAGTATAACCGTTATTACCGTTTTTGTGCTTAAAATAGAAATATGAAATCACAAAAAAAGTTAAAGAATACTTATTATGAGTTAACCTTGCTAATTTGAGCATATTGGCCATTTTTAAAGGTTTCTGATCAAGAAAAGTATTGAGGCGATCAGCTGTTGACAAAGAATCGTCTGGCTCTGGACTTGACGGAGATGAAAATGTTATACCCATTTTACAAGCTGCTAATCGAAATATTCGACGAACTAGTTTGGTTGAACCCAAAATAAATATATCATATGCATGCCTTCCCCAAGCTGAAATCATTCTTGTCAATGAAAAGTCGATAAGCATCGTTGAGCGAAAATTCTATGTAAACGTTTATATAGGGTCAATGGTTTAAGGTCAGTTATTGTGCGCCTAATTATCTATGGCTCTTTTAAAGGCTCTACAACGTACATCTGCGAATTAACAAGGCTAATCAATATATAGATTCTAAGAATTTTTATTACGACTTATAATTGGATATTTTGCGTTTGTCTATTTCGCTTATATTATACTATTTAGAAAAATCAGGTGTGGAGCCTAAATTTAGAATAAACGTGAGCCCAAGACTTGAGGATGAAATTTAGGAATGGAAAAAGTACATTAAATATCTTATGGTACTCTTCTTCATATCAAATGGAGCATGGTCAACCATGAACCCAAACAAAGCTAAGTTAAGCTAAGCTCTAAGAAGCCAAGAAAGTAAGAAAAATTTTAGAGGCACCACGATTTCTTAGAAAGGCTGAATTTCTTATAGATGATTTTGATTAAGTGATTTCCTGAATCTAGTCCTTGATTATCGAGCTATTTTCCTTATTTTTCTTTATAAGCTAGCAAAGGTGCCGCTAGGAAAATTTCGTATTTGTGTTCTTCTTCTTATAACACTTATTTCAATTTACCCGACTGAAATGATTAACATTCTTTTTTCAGAATTATGAAAATGGAAATACAAGATCGCCACTCGAATCTAGTCAAGAAAAGGAAATCGAACCCGCAATATATTTGGTCGTTACACCATATGGGCTCGTTGATTGTGGAAATACTAGGTAATAATAAATGGGTTTTTTTTTTTCTAAGAGCACTATTGCTGGTTAAGGCTGACTTATTTAACCAGATAAATTTTGTAGGCAGTCACTTGGCAATAGAAATACAGGTGAGTCGCAAGCGTCATCCGGATTTTTGACGAAGAGGTTTATTTCCGCTGGGCATAAAATCAACATCTCCAAACTGAGCAACAACTCATTCTATGCTGTTCCCTTTTCGCCGTTCGACGACGTTAAAGCATGTTGCGCCGGCCGGATTCGAATCCAAGCCATTCTCACTTCTCGGTGGTAATTATTTAACCATTAAACCACCGACACACCACAATAATAAATGAACTATTAATTGGTAATATATTTTCTGAAATGAAAAGTAATAAGGAATGGATGGTCAAATTTTCTACTTTTAGGTGTGAGATTTAAGATCAATGAAATGAAATGGCAATATTGCCTTATCTTAAATATTATATATGAAACTAGAGTTAAATATCAGTATTAGCGTTAAGTATGCCCTTGGACTCAAATGCTGTATTTATTTACTGTAATAGATATTTACCGTTCGGAGGCAGATGCTGGAAAAACAACCAGCTTTGCACTCCTTCACGTATCTTTAAACAATACAGCTTCTTGAATATATATTATATAGCGAATTTTCAACTGATCGTTTTTCTGAAAATTCCTGAAAATATCGGCGATTCGTTAAAATTGATAAGGAAATTTCTAAAAAGCCCGAGATACGTAACGAAGACTAAAACCTTATAGAGATCTTATAAGAATCATAAAAAAGAACCGCAGGAAATAACTGGCAAATATGCAAAGAATGAACGGAGAATTTAAGCCCATTTTAAAAACACAAGGGTCAGAAATGGGGAAAATTTACTAAAATCAGGAATAATAAATGTATAGAAACAACTTAAATAATTTCTTTCTTAAATAATGGAAATAATTTTTGCGGAAAATAAAGCAAAAATTAATATGATGGGGTTTTTTACATATTTCTGGTAATCCTGAATATCAATAAATATTTATGTCAATGAATTTTATTAAATTTCAAATAAATATATTTTTTATGCAATCATCATGCATGACCAAGCCACTTGGCAATAATTTGAAGAATTTAAGTTTAATTTTAAAAGAAATTAACAAAAAAGTTACATTTATGTAAAAAATTGATAGGAGAAGGAAACTGTATACTTTCTGGTTAAGATCTTATTCAGTAGCCTGCCCTAAAATATTTATCCAGTGAGTTATCATGCACATGTAATAAATTCGGGCTAACAATAAGTTCCAGGCATTCTATTTGAAGACAACAAGAGTTGCCATAATATTAAGAAGTTATAAGGCTCAACCTTTGATGGTACGCCGATCGGTACCGTTATCTCCAAGGGACCTAGCAAGACTTCTATCCCAATAGCCACTAAAAAAAATTAGAATTCATTATTTCTGATTAAGCTCTTTTCTGGTTGGTATTAGCAATGTATATTTCAAGATTATTGGTTACGACCGCTTTCGCTGGCAAGACTGGCAAGACCAAGGATAAGACTTTTCCAATCTGTTTGATCCAATGTAATTACTGAAAGTAATCTTATCATCCTTCTTGGAAATTGGGAGCAAAATTGTTTTGCTTCAATCATCTCTATTATTTATTTCTTCCATACAAGAGAGTAAGAGTAAATTTGTTGAAGAAGTATTATGAAAGACGATGGATAAAATTTGGAAATTTTAGCCCGAAGGCTATCTTCTCCAAGAGTTTTATTAAATCTTAGGCTTATAGATGACAGATTATTTCCTTTTCTGTTGTTGATTTACAGTCGCAAATGAATGATTCGACGGGCGAATCAGCTGTATTTTGGACAAAAGATGGTTCATCGTGGTTAAGTCTGGCCTCAAAAAATTCTGCTTACTTTACACAACGACCTTTAATAGTCTTTATAGTTATATTATTACATCCAGTATCTTTTCATTCACTGTTCTTCAAATTGTAACTGCTTTATGAAGAAGGCAGAATAACATTCATGCTTTGACAGTTTTTCGAACAGTTGTGCAGTGACTTCCAATACCTAACCAGCGGATTTCTAACATATTCTAGCGTGGGAGGGGGAGGGTGCACAAGCAAGTTGTATAGAAGATTCACAATGACTTTTGGAGACATGCCTTTAGGTGATTCCAGTATTCATCCACCGTTCCAGGCTCGTTCTGTCTTCAAATCTTCTCGAATCTTTTAGTTTGAGATATTTGAAAAATCTTAAGAGGCATTGCTTCTTGCCATCAGTTTCCAGTCAGTTTTATGCAGATCTTAGCTCGAACTATAATATAATCTGACCCATGAAAGTTACCAGTTTCAGAATCGCGATAGAAATGACTGTGTAGTACAGAACTCTTCCAACTGAACATGATATAACGTCAATTTGGTTGGAATGTTCGTTACCCAGGCAATTCCACGTGAGTAAATGTCTTTTTCATCGTTGTATCTTTTGAATTTATATAGTGCTCGAAACTTGGCGATGAGAGATGGATTCCTTGGATTTTAAATGACAGGTTCACTTCTGTAGAAGGCAGGAGTCGAGTTATTGCCGCTCACCATGACATGAGTTATTCGCTTATCATACTACTCTAGTAGCTAGTAGAGGCAACCAAGCCAAAAATGGCAGTTGCTGTTAGAAAAAAAAACATCTATTTGTAAAACAAAAAAATTGAAGGGTTCAAGAGAACTTAATTAATGAACATAATTAATTGATGAATGTGCACGGACCACCAAAAAAAAACTCGAAAAATTTTTCACCTAATAATCATATAAATTGGAATTATCATAAATGAATGATTACCACAAACGATCGATGAAAAATTTATATACTACGCATTAAATTCTCAAAAAATGCTGCAAAAAAGAGAGTTTCGATTAATCATTCAGTTTTTGAATTTTAACGAAAGCCATCATTATTGATAATTAGTTCTTAATATTTTCCACAAATTTTAATTTTAATTTCATTCAAATATTTAAATTCTCGTCACCTCTTTGCATCAGAAAATGAACATATTCAATAAGAAATCGTTCAACTAATGATAATAGCTTGCGATTGGTTCAGTCAGAAAATAAAAATTAAGTCCTATTTTTTAAGTCCTTTTGCATACATATTTAAGCAACTTGGAGAGTCTAATAAATGTATGGGGATGCTCAGAAAAATTTCGCCCACAGTTTGGTTTTTTCACTCTTTCGATTGTATATACCAAAATTATATGGAACTGGGTACCCCATACCTAAATGTATCATTATCACATCGTATCATTTTCTAATAGCATTTTCTAGCACTTTTGTACTTGTTGAATGACTTAAATTTAAAAAAAGTCTATCGTAAATTCATGGATTTGAATCTATTTCAATTTGTAAGAAGCAGTATGTTATTTTATAACAATAATTCTAAGAATATGATCAGATTTTGAAAGGTTCACATTTTTCTCTAAAAAATAATTCGCAAATTTCAAATCAGCAACCACCAAAAATTTACTAAATACCACAGACTTTGTTATCTAAGTTTTATTAACTTATCACATATCAAATGACCATTCTCAATCAATTTAGAGACTAAAAAACAACTACAAGAAAATAAAAACAACAGTCAGTTTTGTTGGATGAAATAATCACCATAAAGAGCCTCTTTCGATTAAATTAAATTAGAGAGTCTCATTTCTTGCCAAAATCGTTTTTGAGAAATTCAGTCCACTTTAGTCACTATTACTATTAAGTTATGCTAAGATAATAAGGAAAGAAATAGATCTATCACAAATAAGCAGTAAATTCTTTTCTCGGTTAGAAATTTTATCAAAGAGTGTCTTGGCGAAAAAGGTGGATCACTAACTTTATTTAGATTTTTTAATAAGTTTATTTCTTTCCTCAGTTATTATTCCTACAATGCGATTAAATATTTGATATGATATTGCCTTATTGCTCTCTGCTAGAAATTTAATAAGGAAATTAATGAATTCATGAAAATAAAATTTCTTCCTAATTATGCATTCATAAAAAATTAGCAAATTAACAACGTGAAATAAAGGTAGAAAAATAATGACAAAAATGCAGCCAAAAACTGCATGAAGATGACGTAAAATGTGGGACTATGGGTTTTAATTTTTTTTCTACTATATAAAAACAGAAATAAGGCACAAGAGTGAAAAAATATGTAATATCTAATATCAGATAAAGAACACTTTGGTGTTTGCATTCAAAGAACATTGAATTTTCCG